TATATATTATTTAAATAACAACAGTATTAAAATTGTTTAATTGATTATATATATATTATATATTATATTATAAATTATAAATATAGATAAATAATTTTCACGCTGTTGTTATTTATGTAATTTATTTTACAATGGGTTCGTTAAGGGCGGAAATTCACGAATCGAATCGAATTGTTAATCTGATCTTTTATGCGAATTGATTCATTCCTATATGTCAGTGGCGTACATAGAAAAAATTTTCGGGAGGGGCTACTATGACAGAGTTAAATTACCACTGCTATCTAAGAATAACTAACAAGACACAGTAGGTACTTATTTACATTTAATTTAAGAAATGTCTCAAACGATTTAACGTTGAACGCAAATTCTAAATAAGCATAATCATCATTAAAATAGAACATACGTTTAAAATAATTTTTAGGTTTTTTAAAAAATTTTAGGGGAGGGGTCTGTAGCCCACTAGGTACTTCCTATATATGCCACTGATATATGTTGATCCGATAATATAATACAAATTAAAATATTACTTTTCACCTAGACCACAAGCAAAACAGCAACATAATTGTCCTCACATAAACTGCCGCGGTAGTGATTTTTAACCAATATAAATATTATATATTTATATATTACATACAATAATTGTATATTCCTATTTAATATAATACATATTATATGATAAATTGGCAATTTAACTATATAGTATGGTAGTACTAAATTATGTACTTTACCAGGGTCAAAACGTATAATACGGTATAGTATAGTATAAAACACGCATTATATTGGATAAAAATAAAATCCATTATAAACAAAAATGCATTTATCATTTAAACATTTTAAATTTAAACACAATAAAACAAGGAAATATAAATAATAAATAAACAATTGTGGTAATATCAGGAGTATACCCAGGAATTTTTTATGGGGAAGTCTAACATTTTTATTTTATCTGTTCACTAATTATAATTACAGTTTAACTCAATACTAAAAAATTACTGTTAATATACTATAGTATGGTTTATACATTATAGGTATATTATATAATCAATAAACTTTGTATATTGAAGATAATGGGAAATTAAAATACACCATATACTATTATTAAACTATTTACTATTAAATCGTCGAGTATGTAGAAATGGGCGTAATGCGTTTGGCCGAATTTTTAAAAATTGCTATGTATTTGGGTAATTTAGAATAATACGTTTGGGCGAGTGATTTTAAAACATTGTTATGTATTCGGACGACCTTTTTTTAAAATCCTGGGATGCTAAAATACTTATTAATCCATTTTCAATGTTAAAATTCACTAAAACACAGAACACCGAAAACGAAAAGACCCGTTTATCAAGTGGTTAGTGTTACTAAAAATATAATTTTCAATTGAAATGCATTATTTATTTTGTTTTGTATTAAAAATATAATCAATTTTAAGATCCATAATATTAACTAACATTATAATACAAGAGCGTACCCAAGGGGGGGGGGTCGGGTTTGGACCCCCCATTGAAATTTCTAAATACTCAACGATTTAAAAGTAAATAGTATAATAATAGTTTATAGTGTATTTTAATTTCCTATTATCTCCAATATACAAAGTTTATACATTATATAATATACCTATATTGTATAGTATATTAACAGTAATTTTTTAGTATTGAGTTAAACTGTAATTATAATTAGTGAACAGATAAAATAAAAATGTTAGACTCCCCCATAAAAAATTCCTGTGTACGCTTCTGCTATAATACAACTTCACGTTTTCAATATTCAAGCAAATTGATATTTGAAAATATTATAGAGTTACCTATGCTAGTAATAAGACTGTACCATATTTAGGTTGATATAAAATTCCCGTATAAAACGTTTTATACACGTATATTACAAACCCTGACTTTTACTATTATACATGTTATATTGATTATTTTTATATGAATTAATTTAAATTAAGTTAAATATTGTACTTATTGTACTCTGTACATGTTAATCACAACACTAATCTCAAATTAGTTATGACCAGTGATGTATTGCTAAAATAAATCATGGGTACACGCCTTATTTCATGTAGTAACTAGTGAACTAGTGGCGATTTTGGGGGTAAGGCAAGTGAGGCGCCACCTCACCTAAAATTTTTAAATAAAAAAAAATACTCAAAAAGTATATTTCTTGGCTTACTGATAGATCCCATACGTCGATAATAAATCTTAACGTTTTTATGATTTCATTTGAGAAAAAATTCTTTGCCACGTATAATATAAATTATCATTTATAATTATGTATATTATTTCGTGTTTATTATCAAAAACAGCAAAAAACCAATAAAAAAATGCATGGAATAATATTACGTAAACAAACGATGGTGTTTCAGTCGGCGGCAATGTTCCGATGATGTCAATAAGCGCCGTTCAACGTCGCCTTTGAAGTTATTATTTGTGTACACAGTGGCGTAACTGGGAAAAAATTTTGGGGGGGGGGAATATAATATATTATTACCAAATTCCTGACACCCCTCACCCTCACCAATTAAAACATATTTTTATTGTATGTATTTTATACAGTATATCTAATTATTTGATTTTACATAAGTCTTTTAACCCATTTTGTGGTTTAGATTAACATAAATTGTAGGTAGCAGGTACAAGGTACTAATATTGTTAAATAATACCCATAAGAGTTCATTAATAAAAGGTGCTATTTGTACTGTTAGATTATCTGGGAGGGGGGCAAATTATACCTTTATCTCTCAAAAAATTGTCAAGGGGGCACTTGTCCCTCCTCCTTACCCCCCACAATTACGTCACTGTGTGTAAATCAATTACATATACACAGTCGTATGTACACGAATGCTCGCTACTGTTAAATAAGTAGAATTACACATGTGCAGTGATCATCGCGAGGCTCAATTATTATCGTCTGTGTGAACTAAAAAAAATAGATGCGGTAAATATACCAGTAGGTATCATGGTCAGCCCGCAGTTGACGCAAAAACGTAGAATACATTATCAGTTGTTATTGTTATAGCCGGAAGTCGGGACAGCCCTAATTAAACCGTTGTAAATGTAATATTAATTTATATTTCTTATTTCTGTCTTGTTCAGATCGTCGCTTGTGTTGGACGTTGATAGATACAAAATTATAATTATTTTTATGTTTTTAAATTCTATTTACTGTGAATTCTAATTTTTGTTATGAAGGAGGAGTTGGTATATAGGTTGCCTCACCAAAAAAATACTACCAAAACCGCCACTGGTAATAACTATCATATAGTAGGAACCAACAAATTTTTTTCTCGCTTTGCTCAAACAATATTTACTTTACTTATATTCACCCAAAACCTGATAGGATATCATATTTTTGTATTTATTCTATAATAATTCTACATAGTAAATAAATATCCTACGATTTATCATTCACGATTAGTCTTTGGGATCCCACTTTTCTAATGAAAACTTATTAAATTATAACAAATTTGAATTTTTCATTAAAATAAAGAAAAGTGTAAAGAAAACAAAAATAATAATATACCCGATACCGAACCACGTCATAAATATAACCACAAGTTGTATTATTTATATTTGTCAAATTACAAGCTATACGCTAGATACGGCCGTATACCCGCGTATCATTAATTTCTCATGAGCTATACGCCATGGATAAAAATAGCGTATTGGGTATACAGTGTATACTATACACCGTTATAACTGGTTATAACTAAACTAAACACAAGCGTTTTGTTAAAATAATTTTCAAATAAACATTACTAAATTAAATTTCATCGGAATACAAATTGGATCTTGATGTGCGTGACGCGCTTTCTCAGAAATTAAGAAGTGTTATCAATTATAATTTGTAATAAATACCTATGGATATTTCAAACATTTCTTTGTATTTTATAAATAATATATTATGCACCTACAGTACCATTATTTTAAATACATGGTATCCACATACGAGCTTACAAGAACAAATTAGTTAATGATGAATAAAAAATAGTAATTTATAATTTCTTATGATTATGCATATTTTCAAAATCTTAAAGCGTAATATTAAATAATTTCAAATAATAATTAATAGTACAAGTTTATTTAAAGTACTAACATTGATTTTGGGGAACAATTAATAATGTCAATGGAAAATACAGCTGCGTCGTGGCGGTAAATCGAGCATGATACGGTTTTTATGAACATCGTGTCCGAATTACCGGTGCTGTGTGCGGGCACATTACAATACGTGGGTACAGTTTTATTGCCATCGTGGCAGTGTGTGTGGGACCTTAATGCCATAAATTGGTTAAAAAAAAACAGCATATAAAGTGAATCGATCTTTTTTTAGGTAGATCTTTTCATTTCGATGTAAATCAATTGATTTCCAAGAATCGCCGCCCATCACTACTTGGAACGTATGACATCATACATAATCATTATTATAATAATATTATTATGTATATCCCAATCCCAATAATGTATTTCAAATAGGGATGGGTTCTCCCACACTTCGAACCCTCGAACACCTCGAATTTTAAGAAATTCAAACAGTTCGAAGTTCGAGAAAAATGCAAGTTCGAATTCGAACATAATACATAAAGTTAGTTTAATAAAAAAATATAAATTAATAACTTACAAGTTATACGGTAATTAGAAATAAGTTTTAAATAATAACATTAGTTAATAATTTTACTTCTATTATAATATCAAGCTTTTTAGTTTGTCATACCTAGTTGATTAAAATTCAAATTTTTAAGTTTTAACTTTTAAATGTTTTAATTTTTCAAAGTTCGAAAATAGTTCGAAGTACCAACAAGTTCGAGAAAAAAATTATGTTCGAGTTTGTGAAAACTTCAGTTCGACCCATCCCTAATTTCAAACCATGGTATACTAATGAATTTGTAGTTAAGAACCGCGGAAACAACAAACGGCGGGAACGATATTCTGTTCCATGAGAGACGCACAACGCGCAAGTAATGCCAAAACAGCGCGCCAAGTGGCTACTGAAAGTAACCATCTCTCAGCTCATTGTCCGTGCACATCGTTCCTGTTTCGTATTATCTACGATTTTATTTCCTTCCTAAGCTCCGGTGGTCTCTGTTCCGTTAGCTTTTGACGTCCTCGTGTCTGGGTTACCTTTACCGTGACTTGTTGTTCACTGTACGACAGACTTCACCATTTTGTTATCCATTCCAGCTGGCAATCATTGTGTTCGGAACAATCCTACGTTTTCTTTTTGATCGCCAATCTCCACCAACGACTCCCAAGTAAGTACGCGTTTGATCGCGGGAAAACGATATATTTCCACATTGTCTGTATCTAATTCTGCGTTCTTTACATGAGAGACCAAAATGCGCTTTTCGGTCATTGTGAACTATTTGGTGACTATCGTTTTTTATTGTAACGTGGGTTATTGACGCCGGTTGTCGCCGACACCAACCTGTTCGATGGTAGTCAACTCGTACCGTCTTCATAACTAATGTTATTGTCCTTACGGGATTTGGCGCTATTTTAATGCGATGTTCGTCGATTGAGTTTTCTGTGATACGTATCCGGAATATTTTTCGTGGGATTTCAAATTTTTTTTAGTTTTATTCTTGTCATTTTATGTTCTTCATTTGAATGTATGATAAAGAGTATGTCGTTAGAAAATAACTACTCACTTATAGTTAACATTATTTACTTGCAAGTTTCACATTACTATCATTACTCATTATATGGTATTTATCTAATACGGATAATTCTGAAATTAATACAATTTTTAGCACGTAATCTTTCTCAATACGATAAAAAGAGCATTCATCTGTGTAGTAAAACTAAGAGTTAAGGTATCTTAAATTGTGTGTTAGCCAACATATTTTCAACAATTTTATTACCTATTATTAAGTTTTAACTCGCTGTTGTAGGGCTACAACAAATTAGTACTGTTTATAGTGTATAATGTCAATTACTGAAATGGTTAACATTGTTTTTTAAATAGAAAATGCTCACTCATTGAGTTATGCTCATATAATAATATCCTTTTCATACCACAGTTTGAAAAAAAAGTACCTTGAAAGTGTTGATGAAAAAAATAATGGCTTTAATTAACTCAATCCATCTAATTTTATATTAATTCTTGAATTTCTATATTAAACAATTTAAACTCTCAGTATTTTTATCAAATTCTAATAAATTGTATCAATGTATGATACATGTCCATAAATATTTGTAAATATTTTTAGTTTAATGTCTTATCTAATGACTATTGTTTTTAGTTTAAAATAATACCATGAACACTAGAGAGAGGACAACGGACATTGCCGGCTGAAGTAAAAATATGTGATTCGGATTTATCGCGTCTGCTAGAATGCATTCCACACAGAGGTGATGTCGTTTTTACATGTATGCCATAGGACATTTATTAGTATAGACCGGATTTATATTTTCTAAAAAACCTAATACTCATTATATTCTCTTAAAAATCTTAAAAATATGTACAATGTTTTCGAAATTATGCAATAATAATCAACTAACATCAATATATGATACATATATTTTACAATTTTTTTTTTTTTTTTCAACCTTTTAATCGTAAAGTATATACGTAATTGCGTATATAATGGAATATTAATGTACTTCATTAAGAGTACAAATATAGTATAAATATATCATTATAGTCTATAGTATTAAAATTTAAAAACAATATTCCTTTGGTGTATTTTAATTAAATGTTGTAATTAACATTAGAGTCACAATATGAAAAAATAACTAATAATCATATATATTAAAATAAAATAAAACAAAAAAATTTGTTAACAAAAGGTAATCCTTAAATAATAAATATTTAATACAAGATAAAATAACAATATAGGTATATATATATATATTTCTTTGGTTTATACATTAGTAAATATTTACTTTTTGAAGAATAAAAAAGAAACTTGATATACTATTTAAATTTTATTGTATGAATTCACAATAATATATTTTTCCATATTATCTGTACACATGTTACTTCTTCTATCGCTTAAAATTTGTTCATAGAGACTAAATGAACATTCAAAATCAACATATGTTAGAGGTACAAACTTCATGTTAGCAACTACACTGGATGTAAAATATTCTGGGAGATTTTATTGTTTCCACATAAAATGTTCCTAACTTATACTAACATTTGGTAACCCTTATTTTTTTGACATAATTGAGACACTTCAGTTTTTTATTATGTTAAGGTTATCAGGTATATTGGTTGTTTTGCAGACAATCTCCAACGATGACACTTAAGTCAAATAATCTTAAATATGCTAAATGGGCTAAATATTCTCAAATATCCAAAAAATCCTTTTTTTACGAACTTAGAATTAAACGAATCATCCACATTTTTTTACTTTCATACAATTGCATAGACTGTAACAATATGTAAAAACGTAAATCGGGTCTTTATTTATTAGTTTATTATTATTATAATTTAAACTCTTATGAATAATTGGTACAGAACATTATTTAAAGAGAACATTTTCCTCAAATGGAAGAATGTACGACTTATAGAATTGGAGATATTATTTTTCTAATATTAATAATAGTCATTATCCATGTATCAACTATATTTTATCAGTTTATTAAATAATGCTAATTATTATGATTTGAAACATTTTCTGGAACAACTTTGATTTTTTCATATTGTGTACTTATTCACAGTCAATCTTTTATCATTTTTTGATATAAACTATATACTCAAAAAGTAATTAGATTATTACATTTACTTACATTATTATATATTATAATATTGTACTATGGTGCCTATCTCTAACTGTAATATGTGTATTTGCACGCAAATGTAAAATTATTTTTGTTGATATTATTACCTAATGTAAACATAGATATTAGATAATATATATCCATATTTTTTTTTTTGTTTAAATCATATAGTATATGCTATACTTGTTCTATGAAAATGTACATGAACAAGTTCTAAAATGATAATAATAATTGAGACATCAATATTATTCATATTAGAAAAATAATATCTCTGATTTTTGAAGTGGTATATTCTTGTAAATACATTCTTCCAATTGAGAAAAAATGTTTTTTAAAATAATGTTCTATAACAATAAGTGTAACCATTTATATTATAACTATAAAAATCCAATCAATTTTCTATACCGTACATGGTAAAACAATGTTACCATTATGCGGTGGAGCGTATTCTGATGCATTAAATCCAAACTGTTATAATTATCACAGTTCGACACCCTCTCTCTTGTGTTCATGAGTAATTTTTAAGTTATGTTTCGTCTAATATTATTTAGGATTAGTGTAATTTTGGTAGTTCGTTATTTTTTTGACTTCTTAAATCGCTAAAAATGCAGTTAAATTATTTGACACTTCTCTTAATAATTAAGTATATTTGGCAAACATTTTGTAAAATAAACAACTGCATAATTTAAAATTTGACTTACTCCTAATCAATTAGTCAATTATAATTTAATACTTATAATAAATTTACTTTGAAAATCTACATTTATCTTAAAAAATATACTGATCCTGTTTCATTTTATTTTGTATTTTCCAGTTAGTATTGCAATCTATTTTTTGACTATTCTCTACATTGTATGAATACAGGTATCAATGTCTTTAAGAAAATGTAATCTCTATTCTAGTTAAGAAGAAATTTAGGAGGCTATTTGAAACCTGCTGTCTATTGTGTTAAACCTCATATTTATTTCATTATTATCCATATTAATACTTCTTCAAATATAAATTGTATTATATACCTAATCTTATTCTTAAAATATTTTTAAAATCATGACTGTATGCCAGTTTTAAAAACAAATAATCTGCTTTAACATTCTCATTAAAAATATAAATTTTATTTTAGAATGAAAGAATCTGCTAATGCAATTAATGTTCAAGAACCAGGGTCTAGTTCTGGAGCAGAAGAGCAAGAAGAAGAATATTCTGTTGAAAAAATTTTAAACAAGCGTGTCAAAAATGGTAAATCTGAGTATTATTTAAAATGGAAAAATTATTCTGATGAAGACAACACTTGGGAACCTGAAGAAAATCTTGATTGTGAAGAATTGATTAGAGAATATGAAGAACAAGCAAGATTAGAAAAAGAAGAAAAGAGAAAAAAACGTAAACGTACCTCATCTAATTCAACTATCATAAGCTGTGCATCATTGTCTGATGCTAGTACGTCTAAAGATCGTAAAAGAGATACTACTCCTAAACGTAAGGTTGCTGCAGTAGATAAGATCGATAAAGTTGACAAGTTTGACAAAGTTGATAAAGTTGACAAAGCTGATAAAATAGACAAAGCTGATAAAGTTGACAAGGCCAATAAATTAGGTAAAACTCACAAATCTGACAAATCTGACAAAGCTGATGCATCTGATGATTCAGCGGTTGATGAAGATGATGCTAAATCAGATGATGATGATGATGAAACAGAAAGTTTGTATACTGGTGGTGAAATTGATCCCACCAAAGTGCCTGAAAAAATTATTGGTGCTACTGATTCAAGTGGCCAATTGATGTTTTTGTTGAAGTGGAAGGATATTGAAGAAGCTGATTTAATTCCGGCAAAACATGCCAATGAAATGTGTCCACAAATTGTTATTAAGTTTTATGAGGAAAGACTTACATGGCATGCTCCTGAAACCAAGAATGGCATTTAAACTGTATTTAAGCTTAATAAAGAGAAGTTACTCAATCATGAACTTTTTTCAATTATAATTATTATTTGTATATGTCTTATTATTTTATGGCAGTCGTGTTCTACATATGAAAAATATATAATAGATTAAATAATATTGTAAGTGTTTGTGTCTTAATATAATTTTGTACATTGCAATTTTTGTTTCTAAACACTTCTATATAATGATAAAAGTTCTTTTTTAAAGATTTTTGAGTATCTTATCAATTTTAATTTTAAGTTTGTCGTAATTGATGTGTTAATCAGTGAAAAATTATTTTTGTTCCCTTAACAAATCTTTATTTTAGGTTTATTTAAGTATGTAATTATTTGTTCATAATATCCTGTTGAAACATTTAAAACTTATTTTATTTTAAAAATGAAAGCATTTTTTTTATTTTATTCCTTATTAACTATTTAGTTATTTTAGTATTAAGATTTTTTCTGTAGGCTTGTTATTACAAATAGTACTTTATAATTATACTTTTTACTTTTGTTTCTTACATAAATGTAGCCAATTTCAAAATAAGACAGACAAATTGATGCAGCTGTTATGAAGTATTATGTCATTTGGACTACAAAAGAATAAACATTTTAAATACTATTTACAAATATGTAACAATATAATAATACAATTTTACCTGTAAAAATGTTTTTTAAACTATTTCTCTTAAAACAATAAGAACTCTTGTTTTTAGTTAAGGAATTTTTTTTTACATAAGTCTCAGCAACATCTGTTATATTAATGTTCCAAATTTTGGGAAGGAATAATACTACTTGATGTCTCCTACTTTTATTAACCATCCTTGTACAATTATGTTATGCCATTTACGTTTTATTACCATACTATGTATTAATTATGGTTTATAATCAAATACAATGTGGTACGTTTATGTTTATTAAGAACTATGTCTTTAAAATATATTGATATAATTCACATTTTTTATTTTAAACAATATCGTATTGGATTATGTACTGTAAGGTAGTCCCTTAACTACTATATTTTTACCATTTGAAGTTTAATATATTGCACTATGTTCTGGTTAATAGGTATTCTTTATGGCTAAGAATCATAATTTTCTATAGAAATTAAGAAAAATTTATGTTATGCTGCATTTTTTAATTATTTTTAAATTGTTCAAGATTAATATTATAATATAACACCTAAATATATATATATATATAATATCCAGAATTAAAAACTAATTTTTTTTTAATATTTTGGTAGTTTACAATATTGACTAACTAAAAATTATCATTTATTTGTAAATAAATAATAGACTATTATGCAAGTTTTTTTTCTGGTACCTAGTTAATATAAATAGTGTAAAATTCAAAATTCTATCTTAATTTTTCAGCAAATACTTACCGTGAATGTTCGTAAATAATAAGATTTAATTTACTTCATATTGAATAGTAAGGTATTTTATATATCATTATTTAAAAATGTGTTTAATTTTTTTTTGGAAAGTAAAGAATTTAAAATATAAGGTTTATAACAAAAACACAAGTTGATGGATTGTTAATTAATTTATTTTTTTCCAATTTGTTTATGGAATTAATACATTTGAATTTGTTAGTAGAGTTAGAATTATACTTTTAATATACAATATCTATGGAGTTATAAGCATATTATTTTCACTTTCAGTTTATGTAAGTAGAACTAGTAGGAACTTACAACAATACATTGAGAATAAGTTGCATATGAATACTGTAATTTATTTGGCACAATCAAATATAATTAACAAACCATTGACTAATAATACTCTAGTGATATTGAGCAAAATTAAAAAAATAAATAAAGATATCAATTTTTTCTAAAAGAGATCTATGTTGGTAAAAAAAGAAGACTATGAAAAAAAAATTGGTAAATTTGAGTCGTCATAAAACGCATTACAGAAATAAAATAATCAGGACATGTTGAAAAATGGCTAGGACTTGTACACACTAAAGAAATTAAAGTTAGAAGTATTAGTATATTCAATTTTAAGGTTAATATACTTAAATTCAATTAGTTAAGTGAATAAACATGTTTCATTACAATACAAAGTTAAACTTCAAATATGAAATAAATTATTATTAGGAATCTCCAAAAAATATATGATCTACTATTGGGGTTAGTAGGAGATTTGTTATACGAGTCACATATGAATAATTGTTTTGAAAATTAAAAGTAGCTAAGTTAAAAGAAACTAAATACATTAATAAAAGCATGTTCGATCACGCTAAAGAGTTGTGCAACAATATACTTTTAAATTAATTACCAGTTACGAAAAAATATTGAATAAGTTAAAAACCTATTACAAAAAGTATATATTTTTAAAATCTTGTTAATGTCTTGTCTCCATCTAATGCCACTTGCCTTTTTGGGCAAAAATATCTGCACGTAGATTCTGAGCAAAGCAAATGCCTAAAATCTGAAATATTAAACAACTATATTAAAACTATATCATTTAATTTTAAATTAAAGTTAATTCATACAATTTTTAGTAAATGTATGCAACATAAAATAATAGTAAATTCAAAATCAATAATATACTAAAACCATGCAATTACTATAGTTTTTTTTTTTTTTATAGTTGGTCCCATGATCTTATAAACTATTAATAAGTTTAAAAATATTAAACAACCATTTGGGCAATTTTTTATATAATTAAGAGGATCACAATAATACACTAAACACACCAATCGTATACTGTACTCATAAAATGCTTTATAAAAATCACATTATAAATTAAATAAATATTTAAATATTACTTAAAATTGTTGAATAATTTGAGAATCTCAAAGCCATTTATTACGATTTGCTTTAGTGAAAAATGTACAAATGGTGTTAATAAAAACTTATTGATAAGTGATAATTTTTAGATTAATATGGGGACAAAAATAGTTTCTTGTTTAAAATATGAATATAGTACTACTATATTATATCAAATTTAAACCAAAAAATACTACAGTTCTATTATAACTAAATTGAATAGTAAAAAATTATACAAACTACAACTAATTAACTAATTAACAGTTTATATACATAATTATTAATATGTTAGCATTTATAATTTTAAATGGCAAACTTGGAGTTAAATTTAAATATTAATAATAAAGATCAATCATATTACGAATTAAATTGTATACTTGACATTTAATCTATTATTAATGTCAGAATGTAATTATGTACTCCTATAATTATTAAGTATTATCATATTATCAAAATATATCTCATAATATAATATAAATACAGTCACAAAAATTATTTTTTTTATGTTAAAGGAGTTCCAAATCCATACTTATCAATTAGTATTACATGTCCCTAAAATCAGTCAAAGTGAGTAATTAAATAATAAACATTGTATCATTTCAAGTTTTCTTATCTCGTCCACCATTAATTTATTAGTTATGGAGTTTATTTCCAGTTCAGTTATTCTATGTTATTTTAAAAATACCTATTGATAATTAATAGCTGTTTATACCTAACCATATAGTACAGTAAATTATGTGTATTATTTTACATATTCTGAATATATATGATGATTATAGATATGTTTAATTTTTGAGCAGACAATACTTCAATGACAAAATAAATAATATACTAAAATTATACATTTTTTGATCTTATGCAGAATAAATTAAGTTAATGACTAAATAATTTTTTATAATTTAAACTCACTTTACAAAAAGCTGATATAAGACTCACTGTGGCTATAAAAAGCATGTTTCTTTCTAACCATTCCTCTCCAGATTGTAAACATCCTTTTTCATTTATGATGAGGTCCATTCGTTTTCCGACATCGTCGGTCTACATAATTACACATAAGCATTGACAAACAAATAATAATAAAAATAATAATAATAACAAAAATTAATAAAAAAAAATAAATAATTCCATTCCAAACCACACATGCCTGTAATAATAAATGCACCATATGACTAAATATTAAAATAAAAAGACACATGCCAAGACAAGCCAAGTTGTACCAACCACTGGTCTACCTGTAATATGGTGACAGTCATAACTGTTGTTAAGACACCAATAAAATTATCCTCAACCCATTCCTCAGCAGCTCGCATGCAACCTCTTTCATATATATTTCTTTCACCCATTTGTGTAGGTAAATTTAAGCTTGTCCATTTCTCAGCGTACTATAAACATCATATGACAGAATAAGAAGTTCATGTTAATAATATCTAAAAGCTTGATAAACTAGATATTATGATTTATAAGAATTTTACTGCCACATTATAAATAATAAAATTTAAAATTAATTTTACTGTTAGACAAATACCATATATTTGTATAAGTTTATGTAAATGCATACTTACAAAGCCTTCTTTTCTGACATCATACCCACACTGTTTGTTTTCAACTATTTCCTATGGACATATTTTTTTATTTTAGGAAATTATAAAAATAAAACAAATATACAATAGAAATGTTTGCTTACATTTACTTTACGTTTGCAACAAGAGAAAGGTACTCCACATGCTTCTCGGCTACCAACCATTTGTGAAGAACAGTTAAAATAGTTATTTAAATCCCAATCCTCGGGACCTTTGATTCCGCAACATTGCAACTTTAAATAAAAATGTTACAAGACGTTCAATTTATTGCATACTATATAACCTAACCTAGTCAAAAAAATGAATGACCACATAATTTTACTATAACTGTACAGCAAAAAAAAGTTAATCAATAACTACTATAAATCATAAAATGGATTTCTGTAGATGTTTTACAATTCATTTTATAGACAATAATAATATAACATTACAATAACTAATAATATAAATTAATTGCTAGTAATACCCAAATTCACATTTATAAGAATATAATAAATAATATTATACAGCTGTGCATTGTAAATTTTAGGAATTAATTAGGAAGGTATTATAAAACCTGCCAAATTATGACAAAGTAAAGTTCAACATAACAAAACTAAAACAAACAAACATGGAATAATATTGATAAAAATTACTATCATTAATAGTTGATTACTAATCATTATATATTAAATATTAGACCATTTAAACCAGTGATGGGCAAAGTACGGCCCGTGAAAGTATTTAATCCGGCCCGCCGAGGGTCCACCGACATGGATAGTAATGGCCCCCAAATTAGGGTCGCAGAGGTTTTCCAGCATTTCTTATAATTTATATATTTTATTTTTTTACATTATAATTTTAATTTAGGAAAAAAATTCCTGAAATACTCTGAAAACGATTGAAGAAAATAGTTTTAAATATATAAATTTATCTGCAGAAATGCAGTTGAAAATTATTGAAATGCAGTGCAGTACCCATTTAAAGCAATTGTTTTTGAATTCCACAAAACTAGATTTTTATAGAGCACTGCAGAAAGCCGAATTTCCAAAAATAATTGCTCATGCCCAGAAAATTATGGCGATGTTTGCGTCGTCTTATGTGTGCTAACAAATTTTTTCGACCATGAAATTGCGGAAAAACTCAATCAGAAACCGATTGACTAATGAACACCTTTTCGCACTGCTGAAAGTTGCTTCATCACAGTTGAAACCTGCTTTCGAAAATATTATGGAAAATCAAAAACAATTCCATATGTCTCACACATTTGCTATGGTTGAGCTTCCGAATAAAAGTTAAATTAATTATTATTTAAGGTAAAAGGTAATTTGTAACATTTGTCTGTAATGCTGTAATGTTTTTATGATATTATGATTCAAAGCTTTTACACAAAATGCATTTTTTCTATAATTCTGGCCCTCCTTTAGAATTTCTTAAACCTTGTGGCCCCCCCATTAAAAAAGTTTGCCCACCACTGATTTAAAACATATAATAGGTTGATTTTTCACTAAAGAATTAATTGATTTTCTAACAAAATGCAATATGATTAATGAACATAAATTACCCAATCCTCTTGAATCCAATCTATAAGGTTCTGCTGATCGGGATCTTCTCTATAATGTACAATAAATGTTTGAAGTCCTTCTGTGGCTTGAGATTTAATCTATAAATGATTTATCAGTACATTTTTTATAAGGTAAATATATTAGAAACAGCAATAGCCAACTTACTGAGTCTTTAAAAACAAATGTTAATACTCCTGCTGTTAGTTCTAGTACCAAAATTACTGCCAATAAAACAGCATACTAAAAAAAACATTATTTTTTTAATATAAAATGAAAAACCAAATATGTATTTAATTGTTATGCCTTACACTTCCTAATAAACAAGTATTTTCTCGTAACGCTCCAATGCAGCCAGTGAAACCGATGATAAAAGTAATTCCACCTGAAGGGCATAAATGTCATATTAAAAAATTGTAAAACTTTATAATCTTATACTATTAAATGTATAATTTACCAATTAAAATTAAAGCAAAAGCTGGATCAAGCGCTAAATGGGTGAGTTTACTTAGATTGTTAAATGCATTTTTTTCCGTCCATGCCCATACACCTACTGCCATCACTGATAAACCAAACATCTGTAATCGTAGTCATATAAACATTATGTATAACATGTAAAATAAAAATTATGAAAGTTCTAATTATAAAAATTATAAATCTTACCCAAAATAACACATTGAAGCTGAATATGATATACTTTAAACAACAACTAACTTCGCTCACTTCTTCTCGTCGATACTTTTGTTGAACAGCCATGTCAATCCAGTGTGACTAGATAATTTTGAATTAAAAATATGTTAGTAAAACAAATATTCTTGGTCAGTACATAACACGACCATCGAGACCAATATTATCACTAATTGATCGACTGCTTGGGTAACAATACTATAAGTAATTGAACGAAGTGCACTGTAGAGGGTTTGAAGTTTAAAAATAAGAACTGTAAACCATGTTTACGAAAAATAATTAATACTCATTATAATAGACTATGTACAAGCGATTTAAGTTTTGAAGGAGTTTAGAAAGCAATCGTTTGAGTCGTGCATAACGATTAGTTGAACAAACTGACAGTCTACTAATAACCGAACTCAATAAAAAATTTCACGCTTAATTTTATGATAGGAACGATATTTACATTGTGATTGTATCTATAGTCGATCGACATCAGGTTAACCACTAGTTGACAGTATTTTCACAAATTATATAAAATTATTTAATCTATGATACATTATCAATATTGGTGCTTTGGTCAACTTGAGAAGTTTAGTGATAAGATGTCTGGTAAACACGTGCTTGAGCGATTTTGAAGTTTGAAAAACAAAACAAAATATAATAAAATATGTGATTGTCGAACGTAGTAGAATTTTGAGCTACTTAAATTTTAAACCAACTGATCATTGTAGTGAATTAATTGTATATTTCAAACATCAGATTGAGCTGTTTTTCGAAAGTAAGTTTTGTACTTGTTGATTTAGCAAATATTTTTGTTTTACTTTTGAAATATACTTTTTTAGATAGGTATTTTGGTTATTAATTGTTTACAAATTATTTTTTAATATCTTAAAATTTGCATATTTCATATTTAGATATGTTAGACATTAATTCATCTATACATATGATTATGTATCATGTTTGTATACCTTGCGATATATTTTATGATCAGGGCCAGGAACTTAGGCATTTGCTTATTTGTTTAGAAAGTGCATATCAAAATTCTGGTTCGATACAAATTCGATATGTACACAGATATCAAACACAAACATTTTTGTTGCATAATTTTACATATTTTGTTATTTTTTGTAGGAATTCGCTGTTTTAGTTTTAATAATTTTTATATGTAACAAACAATTTTTTTTTTATAGTTAAACAAAAAATATTAAATATATGACAACCAATATTCTAAATTTTATATCGTTTGAAAAATAAATTAATTTATCAATGGCTATTTTAGTATTTCTCTCAATGCACTTAATGATGTTATAATCTCTATTGTATTGAGAAATCTAAATAGTGGTCGATGATCAATCAAAAACAAAAAATAATAAAAAATAACAATAACACAAGTATGTAATATTAATTTTTTTTCCCATATATCTACCTAATTTATGTAAATTGTATTTCATTCAATAAGTGCATATTTTTGCATATTTTCCTTTTACTGCATATTATGTTTTTTTTTAATTCATTTGTATGCGCATATTTGAGTATTTTAAGTTTCGAGCCTTGTTCATGAATTTGGCTTGTACAATGATATCTCTGTGTGGGTTTAAAGTTATTTTTCTAGATCATCTATGTTTCTTAGATTTTATACTAATTAATTATTGTATTGATATATTGAATATATGAAATTCCTATTAAGTATAATTAAAATAATCATAATTATATAAATACCTACTAGGGAATGATCTTTTTGGATATAAAATGAAACTCCTAGTACTCAATATGTTTTTTGATAATTGTATAATTGTAAGGTGTGTATTTTAGACAAAAATGTGAAGTTAGTAATCATTTATTGTTAAAGATAACATTTAAAGTATTTAATTGAATAAATAAATTGTTTATTTATCTCAAGAAAATTACAAAAATATATAAATTCATATAAATAAATAACAATATCATTTTGGAAAATATATTTTTTTTCTGTATCTGTCACATTTTTAATGGCATACAATTTGAAGTGGTTATTTTAAACTAGTTGATTATTATATTATATTATAGTTACTAGCTACTTTAAAAACATTTTGGTAATGTAAATGAAATATGCTTGTGTTTAATTTCAGATTAAATTGAAATTAATTATTTTATTATGTACAATTCAAACGGTCAATCAACATATTCACCAAATGGGCCCCCCTATCAACAACCAAATTCATCAAGACCTTTTCAACAACAACAACAGTTTGGTCCAAGATTCCAAACACCTTCCCCGCAGTTTACACCTTCTCCACAGTTTACACCTTCCCCACAGTTTACACCTCCAAGACCTTTTTATCCACCTCCACAACAGCATCATGACCACTCAAGATTGCCATACCAAGTGCCTGTACAACCCCAACAATTTTATCAGTCTAATAACCCTAATTTAAATCAAACTCCAAAATCATCATATCAATCTCCTATCCAAAATGTTGAAACAGCACCAAATCCTCAATATCCTCCTCCTCCAACTGGGTCTGGTTTCAATCAACTATCAGTATCTCCTTACAGAATACAAGAACAAACACCTATGCAAAATTTTAATCATCCTCCCATTCAAAATTATAATCAATCTCCTATCCAAAACTATAATGATCATATACCAATGCATAACTTAAGTCAGCCTCCACCTATTCAAAATTATAACCCACCTGTTACACCTCCTTTTCAGCCTGTCACTCAAAATTGTCATCAACCTATGACTTCCCCATATCAGTCACCTAATCCAGGATATGGCCCTACACAAAATATTTCATTTCAACCTCAAGTACAGAGTCCAGATACATTGAAGCAACCATACCAATTACCAGTAGAACAATGTTATCAACAGCAACAGTCATTTAATATACCTAGGCATGGGTTCAATCAAAGGCCTCCTTTTAGGTCTCCAGGCCATCAAAGATTTTCTTTTAACCATCAGAAGTCAAGATATCAGCAACCTCAACAAGGTAATAATACTAACAATAGATTTCAATTTCATCCAAGGCAGCATTATCAAAATTATCGTCCCAGAGGACCTCCTCCTAGTTTCAATAACCATTCAAATATGAATGGCTCTAATGTATCTAAAAAAGATAAACCACAAATAGCTTGTGAGATGGGAGATTGTGATTTTGTTGGACATGCTGGTGCTATAAGAGAACATCAAAATCTACATCATCGATTGGGATTGCATAAGAAAGTGTTATATAGTAATAACTCGGATGCTGTTAAAAATTGGATAGAGGAAAGAAAAAAGTAAATAATTATAAATAATATTTCACCAATCATATTTGTAACATTTAATACTTAAATTTTGTGTTTAGAAAATGGCCAACAAAAGAAACCATTCTAATGAAATCCGAAGTTGAGAATGAAAAAAAAAAGAGAGGTGAACGTATATCAGATGAAGATTTCAATAGGTTCAATAATAATAATAAATCTAATCGTTCTGGTGGTAAATAATATTCACTTTTATGATAAACTGTAAAAAATTATTGTAGACTAAATTATATGTACATGTTATACTTATAGGGTCTAAACGGTTTAATAACAGGAAACGACCTAGATTTAATGGTGAATATGTTGAACCTGTAGAAGAACCAATGAATGGAAATTTAAAACGTTTTGCTGGAATAGCTGGTAATTGTTAAAAAATTTCATTAATAAAAATTTAAAATTTGTGACTTTTTGTATAAATTACTATTTGGGTTGCATTAAAAATTAAGATTAAACTCATAATATAATAATTTGTTAAATTTAATTAATTTGATAGAATCTTGAATATATATTTTGTATATATTGTACTGTTTTAATTTTAAAGTTTTCATTGATTCATTTTAAATTTAGAAAGGTATAAAATAATTTTAAAAATACATTTTTATATATTTTAAGGTTTTTATTTTAATTTTAAAGTAATTGCTTTGTTTTTTTAGTAATTTATTATTCAACCTTTAGGTATCTTGGGGAATTTGGATGTACAAAGTTATTTTTACAGTTTTGATAACAAATATTCTTAACAGAAAACTTTCTATAAGACTGTGTTATAGTAAAAAAAAATATATATATTAAAATTATATTAAATACATGGATTGTATCACTATATGGTCTTCCCAGATATAAGTAATTAACATAACCATAATCGATTATTGTCAATCCAATGTACTCTTTTTAACATGAAACTTTAATTATTATTTCTAAATTTAAAATAAAAAATTGTTGTATGATATTTAAATGATAAATCATTATATAGTTAATAATTTTTAGGTTGGTTGTTAATTTAATTGATTCTGAGTCATTGTTGAAATACGTGAAATTGTTTAATTTCGGCTTTTTACTTTTATATATAGATTTAATAAAAGAAGAATTGGTCAATGATATCAATAAACCAGCTGCTTTAAAATTGTTAGAAAGTTATGATGAATCCAGTGATAATAATCAAAGTGACGATGAACCGCCTGAAGAAACTTCTATTGTTAAAGAATCAGTCCCTCTAGGCAATACAAGTTTGACAAACTCTAATGATGAACTATGTTCTACATTAGAAACAGAAGACGTTTCTGATAAATACAGTGAAGTTCAAGATTTCACTTCATTAGTTAAAGAAAAACCTAATGGTGAATTGTGTTGTGCATTAGAAACAGAAGATGTTTTAGGTGAACACAGTGAAGTTCAGGATTCTACTGCATTAGATAAAGATGACAGTGAAGCTATAAGTACAGAAGTGAAAACTGAAACTAGTTCTAAAGTAGATGAGGAATGTGAGAAAACGGGCATTGAACGAGGCCAAAAGCGAAAAAAGTCTCAAAAAAAAGAACTTAAACCAATAAAAAGAACACCACCTTTGAGAACACCAAGAACTGAAGTTGTGGAAAAGAAGAATGCTCTTTTAGAAGCTGTAAGTTAATTTGTATTTATTTTATGTATTTGTTTAACAATTATTTTTGTACAAAACATATTAATTAATAATATGCAAGTTTTAATTTACTAACTAAATATCTAATAATATCTAATTGGTTTTAGTTGATGGGAGATTTAATGCGTAAAGAACGAAATACCATCACTCAGTGTATTTGTTATATCAGAAGAAATATGCATCGGTTCTGTAAAATTCAATCTTCTTAAGTATAAGCAATTTTTTTTATATTTGAGTGTTGTAATTTCAATTATTTGAAGCAACGCGGAAGTTTTAAAATAAACATGTTTTATAAGTTGTGATTAATTATTGTTTTATATTTAAATATAGATTATTAGGTCAGCACCTAAACTTAATATTTTTAATTTATTGACATACTTGGACCACACATTTTATGTGTTATAATAAAATTAATCCATTTAAGTACAAAAAAAATATTTAATTTTATATTACCTTTTATGTAAATTAAACACAAAACATAAAAATCATTTGTTTTGTAACAATGGGTTACTGAAAAACTGTAATTTTAAAAAAAAAATATAGTTAAAATTTTAAACATACAAATCATAAGAAATACATAGAATGCAATATTTTTTTAAAAATTAATTAAAATGTTGATAGCCTTTTCTCATTCCATTCAAATAATATTACTAATTATAAAGTAATTTCTATAAGAAACCTATTTTAGTTCATATAAGGAAAATAAGAATAATACATTTAATATGAATAATATAATTTATATATTTATAATTCTAAACATTTTTATAGTTAAAAAGGTAATAATTAACATAAAAATTATTTAATTACAAAATTAATGTACATAAAGTATGTTTAACAAAGAAATTTAAATTGGTATACAGTATACTTCAGAACCAGTTGTGTTATTTTGGACTAGAGATATATTTAAATGAGATTTTCATAATTTAATTTATTAGTGAACAAATGAAGGTTAAATAATAAAATATTATATAAAAATATATTTACATTTCCATGAGTTAATTAACATTTTAATTTTCAATTTTGTACTTGATATCATTCTGATGTAACGCATACTGTATAATACTATAACAATTTTACTATAATATTAAGCTTATAGATAAAAGTTCTTCATTGGTTTTATTCTTAATCGTCAGTATTAATCATGTACCGCCATATGAATGCTTAAACTATCTCTCCTAGAAAATTTTTTGTGACATACTTCACATTTAAATGGTTTTTCTCCAGTGTGGATTCTAATATGACAATCAAGTCCAGATCTTTGGGAGAATGACTTCTGACATATGTGGCAAATGAATGGTTTTTCCCCCGTGTGAGTTCTCATATGTCTTATAAGGTATTGTTTCATAGAAAACTGTTTTTGACAATAATCGCAAACAAATTGTTTTTCACCAGTATGAGTCCTAATATGATTACTTAATATATCTTTACGACGAAACGACTCATTGCAAAGTTCACAATTAAATGGTTTTTCACCGGTATGAGTTCTAACATGTGACAAAAGATGATGCTTTAATGAAAATAACTTAAGGCAAATTTCGCATTTAAAAGGTTTTTCACCAGTATGTATTCGATAATGAGTATCAAAATGATATTTTCGCGTAAATGATTTCCCACAAATTTTACATTTAAACTTATCCATCCTGTGATTTTTTATATGAGCATCGAAACGGTATTTATAGAAAAATGATTTTTTACAAATTGTACAGGTATATGGTTGCTTTGTAGTATGACTTCGTATGTGAGAATCAAGGTTTTGTTTATTTGAAAATAATTGTTGACACGTATGACATTTATATGGTTTTTCTTTAAATTCTACACTGCAAAATGTTTCTAAACATTTAACATCAGATTCAAATTCCTTAGTGTTATTTGGTATTTGATCATAGTTTTGATACATAAGCGAAAGCATCTTTGATTCATTATCACTATCATCTAGGTTGCTTTCGGTAGCTATATCAATTTCTGTTTCAAAATATTGATCATCATAACATACTTCTGAACCGAAATCTTCATTTAGATTTAGATTGCTATCCTCAATATGACTTAATGCCGGTTCAATCTGTTGACATAAATGACAGTAGTATTGTTTCTCACCAGTGTATGTTTTCATGGAAAATTGTTTTTGACAATTGACACATGTAAAAAGTTGTTCACCAATATGTGTTCTAACATGCTTACTTAGTATATCTTTACGAGTAAATGATTCATTACATATATCACAAGTATAGGGTTTTTCACCTGTATGAGTTCTCATATGAGATAGAAGATGATGTTTCATAGCAAATAGTTTTTCACATACATCACATTTGTACGGTTTTTCACCTGTGTGTATTCTATTATGGATACTTATATGGTACTTGCGTGTAAATGATTTATCACAAATTTTACACTTGTATTGTTCTTTATCTGCATAATGAGTTTGTAAATGGGCATCATAACGATATTTGAAATAAAATAGTTTTTGACAAAATGAACATGTATAAGACTGCTTTAAAGCAGATTGGGTTTTGAGGAGGGAATCAAGGTTTAATTCATTTAATAATAATATTTGTTGATTTGTAGTGTAATTATATTCATAATTCTTTAAATCATTGTCAGCATCTATGTCATCTCTTGCAACTGAATTTTCCAAGGGATATACTTGTTTATTATTTGTTTCTGAAGCAAATACTTGACTAGACATTTTTTACTATAATATTTGATTCTTCAACAAATATACCATCAACAATAATACCTGTTGGTTTAATCTTAATTCTTTGAAGGCTAGATGAGTCAGTTTTTGAAATTTCAGCACCAGCAATCATATTTCTTTCATACTTAAAGGAACTGTAAAAAAAGAAATGAGAATTTATTATCCATTTATTGGTAAAAAATTTGAAACTCTGATCTAATACTGAATAAAAATCAATGTACATGGAGCTTGAAAGTTGACATTAAGTCATGCGAAATATGACAAAAGTTAATTTTTAATGGAGTAGGTAAGTAGTATATAGTATTATTATAGAATGAAGGATTGTGTAAAATATATAAGTACATTTAAATTTTCAGTACAGATACATAGGTAAATACTTAATTTTTAATAAATTCAAACATGAAAAATACAAAAACACATAGACTGCATTTCTATTCAAATAATAGCCAATTCTACAAAATTATTGAATACCTAAGTAATTTTGCATTTAAAAAGTTTGACTAATTTCAGTAATCATTCTTAGTGAGCAAGTCAAATGCTTTTACTCAAACAGTAAACTTATTTTAAGTTTATAATTATTTTTTATTTTCTAGTAAATATTTTGCGATTGAATCGAAAATAGTACTCTACGAGTCTGTACACCCGTTTTTGTCAGGTACCCATGTTCTCGGACAAATATTTAACGATTTATTCATAATCTAAGACGAAATAATCCTTGATAGAACTCGAGTGGCCTGGACTGGAGGATTCAAGTTAGACATCGGCTACAACGACAATAAATGGGTACACATTGAATGATAAAGTACGTGGGTGTAGGTGTAAAAACGACAAACCACACACAATGTGATAAAGCAGGAATGTAGGTGAGTGTGTGTGTGTAGGTTCCCATGTTTGAAAATTCATGAAAATAACCACATTCGCCCAGTTATGGTTTGTAAAAGGAACGGGTTGACGACTATAGCGATCCGATAAACGTAATTGCACGTCAACGGGTACTCACTCTCAGTGCAATACGTCCGGAGTTCCGCACGAATGTGGATGTAATAAATGATGCGCAGAATCGGACGGACTATACCTGCAGATATAATCCGTAAAAGCGAACCGGAAGGGTTTTGCACACAGGCAGTGGTGTTTGCTTGCAAGCGGACGATCGCCTGACGTAGGAACGCGGCGAAACACCACACCATAACAAACACTATCAGGGTTTCGTTCGGAGTTTTCACTTTTCGTCAACGGACAATACGGATGATAGGTACACAATATCACACTCCACACGATATTATGTATTATTATCGTTATTACTATTATATTATTATTATATCATGGCAACTGTACCGAACCGTTGCAGTCGGATGACGCTACGCTTGCTGGCCGGACTGGATGGATGGTCGCCACTTCCGCTTATCAACGCTACTCGTGATAAACATCGGGCCGCGTGGGCGCGATCGTGTGCACCGCCCTCTAGGTGCTGAACGGTTCGGGGCTGTGGTCCGAGATCGACGACCAGAACCTATTGGATGGCTGTGTGTAGGTTCACTGCGCGCGGACGGGGTGGTACGGCAAACAGCAGAAATAACGAATCTCGTTGCCACGGATCGCGACGAAACGATTTGGTCGGAGCAGCAAATGGACGGCGGTGTGAGCCGTGACAACGGCGACCGTGTGACTGCGTGTGGGTTTCAGAGCGTAACTTTGTGTACGCGCGTTATGCAAGAGAACGTGCGCCGTGCGTGTGTGTGCGAGAGACTGAGCGTTATATTATATTTACGTATTGCGTGTGGGTCGTGGGTGAGCGAGTGTGTGCGTGTGTAAGAGGGAGCGTGTACGTACGTGTGCGTGTGTAAACGCACGCGCGCGCGCATATTAGTTCGTGTGTGTGTGGGTGTGCGAGTGAGTAATTGTGGATGCGTGTGTGTACTTGTATGCTTGCGTGTGCAAGAAGTAGCGTGCGTGTGTGTGCGCGCGCGCGCACGCGTGTATACGAGTGTTGGACTTGTTGACGAGTGTGTATGCGTGCGTGTACGTACATATGTGTGTACATGCGTGTTTGAATGTCTGTTGTGTATCACGTTATATACGTGTATGCGTCTATGGATAAGAGTGTGACGTGTGTGCGCGTGTTGGCCGTGGAGCCGAGCGCTATGTGTGCGTGTAGCAACGTTGAACGATGTCAGTTTTTTTTTCCCGCTTACTACCTTAGTAACGCAGCCCATAGGTATATGGTATATAGGTATATAACCTTTGTACACCATTTTACGAACGATTCCAAGGGTCGGGTATTTTCCTTTTAATTCACATGGCTCGGTCGTCCTGTTGCAAAACCCGGCGGCGCCGCTGTAGTGATCGTCTCCGAAACGTAGACCGAAGTCTCGTCGCACTCGTCCCTTTCACGTCACGTCACTCATCGTGACGTGGGAGAGAAGGGACGGGAGAATGGGTATATACTTTTGGTTTTTTTACGAAACCTCTGTAACGAAAACTATGCGAGGGATTTAATGTTATGGTAGTAATTGTACGCGTTCCATTCAAATTGGAACATTTACACGTCGAACAATTCTTACAGCTACTTTTCAAACGACCTTGTTTTTCTTTCTAACCATTGTTTTCAGTTTAAACAAAATGCAGGTTGAACGTATCCCAAATTTGCATTTAGTTTTGTAAACGATCATTGGACTCACGAATGGTGGGAAATTTCCAGTCCGCCACTGCCTACTATGTACGTTTGTTGTGCATATGAGGTCCAATACATTGATATTAGTGTTGGTTAGCAGACTCCAGGACAAGCTGGTTGACCGCTTCTTCGGTCGTACGTCAGGTAAGCAGTCGAATCTCGTACTTAATTCTAGACAGAATATTTTTAATTTATTCTGTTTGTTTCTAGTGTGCATGTAAAGAAAAAACGAATAGTTAACATTTTCCAAGAGATGCAGTTTTACACATTTATAAACTTAATAATATCTAAGTATATCATGTATTATATGATAAATATATTTCCTGTTGTCGTGCTGGGACTGTGATGATATATGATAAATAATAAAATAATAAAAGTTTACAAATGTCGGAGAAATCTAATTTCATTCAGATTTTTTTTTTTATGAATACGTTGGAATGAAAAGTGTATATTATACACTGTATAATATAATCGTTACTCATATTTTGTGATTCGCAAGGCAAAAAAAGGTGATGTAATTTTTTATCGATTGTGTAAACGAAATCGTTCGTACGGGTACGGACCGGTTTACTTTGGAGCCGGTACATCAAAGGAAATTTGTTTATAGTTTGGACGCGATACGTTTACCATGCCGCTTGCGCTTAGTGAACTGCATACGATCGTCACGGGTAGTTGTTTCATGTTTGATGATTCATTCATTTTCTTCCAATAACGGAGAATCACACGGAATGGTCGGACGATATGGCCCTAAATCTCATGAAATTATACAGAGAAAGCCAATCCTTTGGGATTCAACACAGAAGGACACACTGGCGAAATTAATACCGATGTTGCGAATGTTAAAAAGAAAATGGATCATTCAGATGTGAACGTCTACGAAAAGAAGACACCCGCCGCTTAGGCGCTAGTAAGGATGATATGTACGCATAAAAATGGTTCGTTTTCAAGGATATGAAGTTCTTGGCGGATAAACCTAGACAAATAAAGGATACCATAAGTCCTGATGTGTCGGAAAACACTTGAACTACTTAAAATACTTGTAACCACTTAAGCAATGCGGCGAAAAGTGTGCGTCTCCATAAAAAAGCGATCGAACCGGCGCAAACACCAAAACGTATGCCTTTGATGAATTAGTTCGTTGCAAACGCACGAACGACATCGTACGCCGCTCGGCATGCGTGCGTTATAGCGAAGATGCACTTTAAGAAATGTTGATATTTGATGTTTTTATTTTAATGTTCTGTCGTTTCTATTATTTATTTCGATTTCCATCATAGACCGTATTTCCGGGAATTCGTAATGTGGACGATAGGTGGGTGGTCGCGATTAACGGAAAACTCACACTAATATTCTTTTACTTTATACACAATGACACAGCTAAAAAATACAAATACTATCGAAATCCTTAAACATTACTCGTAAAAAGATACCACTATGTTCCAGTCCCCATAGTATTATTGTCGGAATAAGGGCATTGAAAACGGACCGTTTTAAAGGCGTTCAGTATAGGCAATAATATGCGTGCATGCGATCCGTACATATGTGTACGTAGTAAATTATCATTATGGTTATCATTAATGGTGTCCAATGACCGACCAGTTATATTTTTCGGTCGCTAATGACTAGGGCCTGGATTTATATGCACTATAAAATATGTCTATATGCTCTTATTTTGTAGGAATATGCCCTAAAAAATAAAAAAATATGCAAAAAACTAAACTAACAAAACAAGCCACGTGTAGAAAAAATACCTTTATATTCAGCAATAAAATGATTTAACCAAAGTGGTTGATAATTTTATTTTAATAATTAAACAAGAATTTTCATCATTTTAAAAATGGGTTTATGCAAGCTAAATTAAGGATTCAGACTACTCTGAGTCGTGTCAATTAAGAAATAATTTAAAGGGAACCATGTACTTCAGATGCCAAACTTATGAACACAAAAATAATTTCTGCAGGTATACACCACGCTGCGTTAAGTGAAGTTGAAGATCACGTGTCTGTGGAACGCACTAAAGATCGTCCTTACTAACTAAATGCTCTCTAGGTTCTGGACCCCACTCTGCTTCCTATAAAGCTATTATTTATATTATTATACCATTATACTACTTTTATATAATATTAATAATCAATGGCATTAGGTACTTATTTTATTCTATTGGTTGTAAAAATAAATTGTGATTTTTAATGATCATTTTTTTTTTTTTATTTCTTTGGCCTACTATATACTACTATATATATATATATAATTATGGTCCACCATATTTCAAAGTTTTTACCTAATCTAGCCTTCTAACTTTGAGTTGCCCATCTCTGCTATAAAGGATACCAAGTTTTCAAGAAAATCGATTCTGCTACTCACAAACCAATTACAACAAGACGGATTCTATCGATTCTTTTTACTCAGGTTCTCTTGATTCAGTCAAGCTTACGAATTTTTGATTTCTTACCCCCTCATTTTGTTCATTAGTATAAGGAAGTAATTCTTCTTAAATTTGGTCATGATTACTCACCTCTTTTACGTGCCACAAGAGGATTGAATATTAGTGAAAAATGGTTGTTTTATAATTTTTTTGACTATATTCAAAAAAATATTGCATTTATCTTAAAAATGTATAAAACATATTTTATAGATATTTATATTTTTAATAAAAAATAAATTTATACAATTTCTCATAAATCTATAATTTCCCAAGAAAAATGATAAAATATCGAATATTTTATTTATAAAAAAAACGATTTTTTACAGTTATTTAAATATATTAAAATAATGGTTGATGATACGACAAAATATTTTATATACAATTGATAAAGAATTTGATTTCCTAAAAAAAAGTTAATTAACATACATTTCATTGGATTGACTGTTTTATTGTAACAGTCAGGTTAACATAAAAAAATTTAATGTATCTAAAATGTTATTATGTTAATTCAAGAGTTTCATTTTCACTATTATTCAATCCTCTCGTGACACGTGAAAGGGATGAGTAATCATGACCAAATTTAACCTGAATTACTTTCTTATAGTAATGAAATGAAGGGGGTAAGAAATCAAAAATATTAAAAAAAATTTCTTCATATATAGCTAAGGACCACCTTACTAACCAGCTATTAGTCACACTATCAGACAATCGAATAATTTCTAAATTTCTCAATGAATGTAAGCAGTTATACAATTAATTAAAAAGTCATTAATATAACTTTTAATGCCTGTCCTAAATAAATTTTTATCTTTAAACACTTCGATCCCGTAATTAATTTAATCTTTTGTTTTCGCACTTGTATAATATACATGTACATCATATAATTATAGTTTTAAAATTGTGTCTGTAATCCACTTTACTATCTCCAAATTATGTTCTGCTTCACTATTAAAACCGATAGAGTTAATTAATTTTACCTCTCAATATTTATCACGCTTTCACCTTTCATAAACATATTATATTATGTATGTGTATGTTTGTTTTGTATTGATTTTATTGATTTTACTTAAAATAATACTCAATTGTATCTTAATTATTATATTTTACTCGTAATTGTCAAGCTATAATTGTGTAATGCAGATTGCTCTTTTAAAAAAAAAAAAAAGTGAGGAATCCCTCGTTAAACGTTACATTATTGTATTAGCATCTTGCTAATTTAATAATTATTACTATTATTTATTATTATAATAAATGTTTAAGTTAATTTAGTATATAGTACAATCAAAAAAAAAAAAATATTAGAAAATAATAATTATGATTATTTGACTCACTCAATGCAAACAATGACTTTTTTCATTCATATTAAGCAGTGATTCTCAAACGAGAGGTTGCCAACAATCTAATTAGAGTTGCCAATATTTAAAATAATTAGTGAAGTGTTTTCGAAAATATCATTATGATAATCATTGTTGAGAGTTATAATTGATAAAAGTTTAAGATTGTCAATAAAAACGTTATATTAATCATATTAAAGTATTATTACTTTTTAATATTATCATAATAAAAGGGTCGCTCAAAATCTTGGTGACACTTGGAGGTTAATAAAATAATTTTTTTGTATTATTTATATTTTTTTAATAAAATAGCGGTTCTCAATAAAATTGAAAACCACTATTATATAGTTTTTGTATAACTTGTTATAACTATTACCTTTTGCTTTTGTAAGACACAATAATCCTAAAAATACTGCGTCAATAACCTCAAGTAATTAATAATTTATGTGAACTATTGTTGAGTTTTTTTTTTAAGTAATATTGTACAAGAATTTCATTAATGGAAAATTATTAAACAGTTGATGCTTTAATGTCAATTATTATTAATTCTTATAGTTACTGTTTAAATAAATATTACAATAATACACAGCAGTGGCGGATTAAGCAATTTGCCGCCTACAAGCAGGACATTTGCCGCTGTTTCATTTTCAACCTTTTTTTTAAAAAAAAAACAAAATACATATAGAAATAGATTGTTTGAGATAAATTATTTTTTATTATTTTAAATTGTATACAATAGTCAAACATTAAATTATTTTAGTTCGGCTTTTGAGGTTAGCGAATGTATTGATTAGGTCTTGAAAGTTAATTGCCGACACTAATTCTGATTCAATGCACAGGAGAGCCAAATTATTTAACCGATTTTCACCAATAGTAGATCTTAAATACGTTTTAGTTTTTTTAAGACACGAAAACGATCTTTCTGCCGAACAGTTGGTAACCGCCATACAGGAGTATATTCTTAAAGCGATGCTAACATTCGGAAATAGTTCTTCTAAATTCTGATTTCTAAAAAATTTTGATTTCTAAAAAATGTATATAAAAAACATCCAAATCCTTAAGTTGCCCGTGTGATTGGCTGATACAGAAAAATCATGACTTACAATCTTCTTAATCTCAATCTTATATCTGTAGCAGATAACTATAATGTTCTAAAACATAAGAAAATCGAAAAAGAAATTATAAAATACATATAGGTATTACTTATAAAAAATATTATATAATTTATTACATTTTATGAATTAACCTAATTTAACCTAATTATTTAATTAGGGTTTATTTACCTACCAACAATTTGAGTAAATAATTTTTTTTAATCTGATCAAACTGTATATTTCTATTTTTACTACTGATAGGTGTTGATATCATATAACTGATACTATAACCTTTGATTATAGAATAGATCTATTCTATAATCAATGCTACAACTTATTCTACTACTAACCATTAGGATAGATCTTAATTCATGAATTGGTTTTAGAATTATAATAAATTTATCTAATTTATCGGGTAAATACCCAGTAAATACCCGGTAAATACCCAGTAAATACCCGGTAAATGCCCAGTAAATACCCGGTAAATACCCGGTATTTACCTGAAATTATATTTACCGGGTATTTGCCCATCACTAATTATACCTAACAATTAGATCCTACTTGTCAACAGTTTATTTATTTAGATATAACATACATTATAATTGCATTAAACATCAAAAATGTATCTTTGGGTATGTTAGTAGTATAATATTTATGAAAAAAAGGGTAAATAACTCAACAGCTAAAGGTTTCATTGGTTTTATACTTTATTGATTCTTGAACTCTTATTGTAATATTATTTAGTAGGTAAACAATAATGAAATGTAAGTAGTTGTAATTTACAATCAAATAATAAACACAAAAAAACATTAATTATTATTTTGGTGTTTATTTAAGTTAAAATAAATAAATGGTTATAAAAGTAGATTTAAAGTAGATATTATAGATAAAAAGGTAGGTTTGTACAACCCTAAACTCAAAAATGGAAATTTAACATTGGCCAAATTCTTGTTGCTTTCTTTCTTTTAATTCTATGTATATAATTATTTTCAGAAATAATTTTTTGTATAATAATTAGTTACTAGCTGAAATATGTACACAGGTTAGGTACCTAGTTTACTTATAATAGCTTAATTGTAATATATTAGGAAAGCATATAATATATTATAATAGATAGGTTAAGATTTTTATTTTTATGGTATAGTCAGATTTCTATGATGAAATCAATCACAACAAATAACCCTGCATTATGTTGGGAATTTATTTTTAAAGGGAGAACGTTGAGCTTAGTGACAACCACTAAAATAATATAGAAGGCACAAACTACAAAGTATGTTTTTTTTTTTTTGTACGTCTTAAATTGTTAACAATAGTGGTATTATATTTATTTTTGTATATATGTGAACCGAAGAAGACATTTATTATCACAATATAGTATAATTTCTTTAAACCATGTACTCGTATTAAAACGGTAAAAAAAACGTCGATATCGAGTTAAAACAGGTTTTAAATACTTCTGTATTTATTTTGCCATTTAACTGTTTATTAATCTGTATATAATATTTTATAAAAAAATTTAACGTCAATTGTAGGTACTTAAACAAAATATAATTAAATAAATATTTTAAAATTAAAGTTAAAATTTGGTTGATGTAATAATTTTATAATGTTTAAATGTACATACGGAATTATTAAAAACACTATTTAAATACAACTCAAGCTGCTAATTGAATAAAACACATGCGGACCATAAAGTTGTAAAATAATGTTCCGACACATTTTTAATAGATACTTCATATACGAGTAGTATGTATATAAATATTCTGAGTTTTGGTAGTCACGAGTATTTCTCATTATAAATATGTTTTTTTGTCGATAAGAATCGATGGTTTTTACTTAAAAGTTATAACTGATGAGGTACGTCATACATTACAATACATGATAATTTAATTAATGTATAATATTTGATTTACGTATTATAAAAAATGAACTATGCAAATGATATTTTTCGATTATGATTTATTAACTAAGGCATAACTTATGAATACTAACTCGCAACATATTGATTCGTATGCGTTGAAAAAAATAAACTTCGTATTAAAACTTTTTAAGTATCTGTAGGTAGGTAAAAATAATAGATTGCGCGAAAATAATTTTATCCTAAGGTACACACCGATAATGTTTTATTGTATTAGTCATATTACTGTTATGTTTAGATTAATATTTTTTTTTACATTATTATTGTGTAAAGTTATTACAACGATTAGATTACGAATGACGAAATACGTTTCACTCGTGTATTTCTGAGTTTAACCATTGATTTTATAATATAAAGTTCAACATAAAAAAAAATATTAAATTAATATTTATGACATGGTTTAAACGTCGAAACCTAATAAAACATTGGCTCTATGACAATGAAGAATGTGCAGATCATAAACTCTTCATTCTAGACAAATTATTGACTTGTAAAATATTTAAGAAATGCAAAGATCATTCAATAACAATAAAACAGTCGAAATTAATGAAGTTAAAAATTTTATCTCGTGTATAATATTATTAATAAAATAAATGCTATATGCTTATTTTTATACTTGTCGTATTGATTTGTTTTAATATATTTCATAGTAATAATATAATAATTATTATTGTAATAGGTGATTAAATAACATTATTTATTATTTCTTTTCGTCAAACAAAATAGTCTATCCGAACCGGTTTTATAATAATCTAATTTGAGAAATGCCAACACCGTCGGCCATCGAGAATAATATTATTTTTTCGATTATAAATACCGCTATGCAATCTATCGGATTTTTGCTTTACTATTATTCGTGTTTCTAAATAAACGGCCGTATGGATTATCTGTATATTATAAAATCAATGGTTTAACAGACAACGTTACGGAGAATTAAAACCGAGAACAGTCAGAATAGTACACCAAGGTACACTAGAGTACAAACAATAGTGTCAACGATCATTTTTTAAAACTGTAAATAATTTGAAAATGTTCTCAAATAGTTGTTTATGCTTTGGTACAATAATACAATTGAATGATAGACATGTGACTCGTCGATACGTTACGTATACGTAAGCGTATTTTTTTTAATGACGTTTTAATACCGTGATCGCACACTATACACACACACACATACATAGATATAGGGTAATAAAAAAATAAATAAATAAAAAAAACATTTCAGATTAGTTAATAAAATAAAACAAAATAAGCATTTTGTTTTCGGTATTTTTAAATCAAAACCGTAAGATATAATAATAAATTAGTATACCTATTAATATCTACACGTGCATAAGTACTTTGACCGTACAGGTGAACGGAACTCTTTTTGAGACGCCCAATAGTAATTACATATATTTATATAATATTTCGTAATGCCTGTAACACATACGTCACAGACATTGTAGAATATCGAACAATATGTCAATACGATGAACGAGTTTTCTGAACTAGAGTTCATTTTAGTGAACGATGAACGACTGAATCGTTCGCCTAGGTGAACGATTAATCCCATCTCTATACGAGGTGTAACAAAAAAGTAACGAGACTTTCTATGTATAACATAAACTATTAATGTTATCCATAAAACGATTATTGAAATACGATAAGGAAGCGCTTATTTAAAAGTACTATAAGTATTGACAAAATTGGTTCATTTTTCATACGTTATTAGTCTTGTGATTAGTGCTAGTTCGACAATACTGCCGAAAAATGTTAGATTTAAAAATCGAACAACGTGTTAACATTAAATTCCTTGTAAAATTAAAAAAAACTGCCACGGAATCGTTTCGAATGTTAAATGAAGTTTATGGTGAAGAATGCTTATCCAGAGCTCGTGTTTTTGAATGGTATAAACGGTTTTGCAGTGGAAGAGAAGACGTTGAAGACGATGATCGTCCTGGACGTCCTACCACGTCTTCAACAAAGGAAAACATTGAAAAAATCGACCAAATTATTCGGCAAGATCGTCGATTAAGTGTTAGAGCTGTGGAAGAGATGATAAATATTGATAGAAAAAGTATTCGTAGAATTTTAGTTGAAAATCTGAACATGAAAAAAGTGTGCCAAAATGGTCCCTAAAAATTTGACGGTGATCAAAAATTCAATCGTAAAGAAATTTGTTCAGATACTTTAAAAATTATCAAAAACGATCCATTTTTATTAAATAGTATTATAACGTGTGACGAAACGTGGATTTTTACATATGATCCTGAAACTTAAAAGCAATCCATGCATTGGAAGACACCAACTTCCCCAAGAATTAAGAAAGCACGAATGAGCAAGTCAAAATTCAAAGCAATGCTCATTATTTTTTTTGATATTAAGGAAATAATTTTTGTTAAATGGGTGCCTAGTGGACAGACAGTCAACCAATATTATTATAAAGAGGTATTAATTAAATTGAGAGAACGAGTTAGAAAAAAAACGACCAGATCTGTGGAAGAATGGCTGGGTTCTTCACCAAGACAATGCTCCAGCTCACAGTGCATTTTCAATTCAACGTTTTTTGACTGAAAAAAAAAATTCTATAATGCAACATCCACCGTACTCGCCAGACCTGGCTCCTTGTGACTTCTTCTTATTCCCAAAAATTAAAAGTTCATTAAAAGGAACCCATTTTCAAACAGTTGATGAAGTAAAAATGAAAACGGCAGAACTTCTAAAAAGGGCTGACTGAAAACGATTGGCAACATTGTTTTCAAGAATGGCAGCGACGTATGCAGCTGTGTATAGATGCTGAAGGTAGTTACTTTGAAGGTGATAATCATTAAATTATAAAATTTTAAAAATAAATAATTTTACTAGAAAAATCTCGTTACTTTTTTGTCACACCTCGTATAGTACGTGTGGGTATGCGCCGCACAAGTACATAGGACGCAGCGGCGTGCACCTCCCCCTCCCACCGGAACCCGGTGGCGCGAATAATTCGTATGGCCGCTACTAGCGGCAGCACATGCGGCGAAACGGTCGCCTGCAAATGCGCCGCCTCCGAGAGGAGCGTTTCCGAATATCGCGTACCGGTGGATCGTAGGGATGCGCGTGACTCCGCTGGGATCGCGTTGCCGTCGCCGTAGGTCGGGGCACCGCGCCGCCCGATTATCGTAAACGGTCGCAAGCGACATCGCACTGCGCTGCGTTGTGCCGCGTCTCGCGCGTGTTTTCGCGTCTCCGCCTTTACCGTCATTTGTTTCCGTGACGTCGACCCGTTCGTGCGCGTCTCCTCCGTGCGAGCACTGCCCCGAGATCTCGATCTCGATCTTTCCCTGGCCACCGCCCACACTGCTCCTGAAACGTTTCACATTGTCGTCGACGACTACCCCTACCTACCCCTTGTCATTCGAATCAGCCGCGTCGGGAACTGCACTCGTCATCGGCCTATAATAAAACTACATGTAATATTTACAACAGTCGCTGTGCCGAAAACGTTTTTCGCCGTGTCGTGAACCAGGCCCGCGGCTGGTATCGAGTACGTATTGAACAATTAACATTGTTATCGCACTACAGATTATTTATTAAATTGTACCGTTTTATCGCGCGCGTGCAATGTCGATATGTGATTGCGGTCGGTGAGCGCCCGTTCCGGGTGATGCCGATCGTTCAGAGATACGCACACGTGATCCTACCGTATTGTTATTACCTATACAACAAGTGTTCTGACTGGCAGCGCGGACGACCGACCTTGGACACGTATCATTGTTGAGAACGATCGCACCAAAAACATCTTTAAATTCACACGATTTCCTCCGTCATTATCATTTCTAAATCGGACCGATAATTCACACTACGGACTTTATTTTGTATCATCCATGTGTATGATTGCATGAGATATTACCTAACCTGTGGTAACACCGCTGCCGATCCGGATTTTTTCGCCGCACCCTCCGTGGAACACTCCCTCTCTTCATCCCCCGACGGTGGCCTCCGTAATAATGTCGGATTTCATCGTGGCCATTCGTTAGTACGTGAATACTGCAATACGATTATGAATAATAATTCGACTGACATTTTTTTCGAAACGCTAGACGTGTTGAGTTGCCGTAGAGAACTCGCGTGTCGTCGGTGTTCCGTCCACGTGCGCTTCCCGACGCCGTGACGCGTGCACGCGTATTGGCTCTGGTCTGATGTTTCTCGAACGCGACGGATCGTCCGGGGCCCGGGGGATATCGGGCAGTAGGGCGGCGCGCCATCATCTGTGTTCGGGTAACGGCTCCCCGGTATCCCCTTCAACGCGTTGTAGTAATTGTTACGCGAACGTGCACTGTCTTCTTTTTTTTTTATTCTTTTTCCGATCTCCGTCCAAGTTCCGCGAGCGATACATTAGCCGCGTCCACCGGCTGTTGTCGTAATCGAAACTACGGAACGTGTGTGTTACACGCATACGGCAGTCTGTAATTTGGAGGAAGTAGGAAGGTACATATGTAGTTACCGTGTGCTCGGACATCCGACGATTAATATTATTAACGTTAATTATTAATAGTAAACGAGGAACAGTACCGGACGACAGTAATCATCATTTTGAATTTTCGTGCTTTCCAACGTGTCGGCGGCAATCGTATAACCCTCTCGTTGGACTAATACTTTGTCTGGTTGTTGTATGCCGATCAACGCAATTTTATTTTTCCATCCAACGCTGCGCCGATCGGTCCAATATTAATTTATCCATTACGTAAATGATTGTTTGTTCCGTTCTAATGTTCTCGTATTCTGTGTTCCTAATATATATTATGATGCCTGGTGTTCAGATGTGAATATGCGATTAATTTATAATAGGAACTATATAGGCGGTATATCGATTCATGAATGTTATTTACATTTTCTCAGTTCGGCAATAAATATGTTTCAATTATTTATCATAGATACATGTCATGTGTTATGCTGATGAATTTATACGGTACACGTAAATTAGTTATGATAATCCGTGCTCATTTAAAACAAATAATGTTCACAAATATTAACATAATTTTTTTTTTCTTGATAAACATTTATGTATTTTTTAATACCATAAATGCGTGTAAAATATTACGTTTCTAATTTTTGTGAACATTTATAAAAAAATGATTTAATTTTACATTTAATTTTCTTATTCTTTTAGTTTGTATCATGATACCTATTTCAAGCAAAAAAACCCATTCCTCCTGATTACCTTTATAATAAGCTATCCTGTAAGAATTATTATTCTCAGTTTTTTTGATTAAATAACTGTTATTATGCTACTGAATATAAAATATTTAATCTAAAAAAACTTGTTTGTCTTACAACTACTACTGATTAAAAATAAAATATTCTTATTATAGATGTAAATTTAATTTGTGCTAATTAAAATGGAACTTATAAAGACTTTTATTGTTGAGTAAGCTGAAGGTCCGAAAACGTTTAGCCGCCGCTTTGATGTTGTTTGGTTTCTGTTATTTAATAGTATCATGCACAAATATGGTTGATGTGTAAAGTTCAGTAGTACAGGATGTTGAAAATGTTTTTAAAATACAGTATCCATTTGCTTTTATCAATACATAGGTTTTTTTTTCTTAAATTTGTTTTTTTAAAAGTACTTGGGTCCATGAAAGTTTTGAATTATACTAATATTTTGTTGTCTTATAATTTATAGGTTTTATTTTATATGGCATATTATTTTTTTCAGTTTCAAAAATATTAAATGATGGATAAATCTGCAGGAATTAACCACAGCGGAACAACAGTTCTCAATCAATCTTATAATAAATCTACACATCAAGCAATTGTTTGGCGCAATGTTATTTTGTTTGCTTACCTCCATTTGGCTGCATTATATGGTGCATTACTAATTTTTACCTCAGCTAAAATTGCAACAACTATTTTTGGTATGTTTAACAACCCAGTTAATATTCTTGATCAATTATTCTAATATTATTATTAATTATTCAATCAAATATTTTGTCTTTTTAAATTTAGCAATTTTTATGTATCAAGTATCTTTAATTGGCATTACTGCTGGAGCTCATAGACTCTGGTCACATCGATCATATAAAGCCAAGTGGCCATTACGTGTCATATTAATGATATGCAATACAGTTGCGTTTCAGGTAATTTAATTATATTTAAATACTAATTGTCATTAAATTGCCATTAAATTGTTCATTAAATTTCATAAGTTCTTAATTTATATCACTATAACTTAGGTTTATAAGATTTAAACTATATACTTCTTTATTGAATAAGTTATTTTAATTAATTGAACAATTAATTTTAATTTTAAAAATATTGTCTGTTATACGGTAGTAATATTTATTTTTAATGTTTCAAATCATTCATATTTTATTATAAATCTTCTATATATTTACTTTCATTTAATTTTAATAATACTTATTTCTATGTATTTATTTATAGTTTTGAATAAAACCATAAATAATAATAATAATAAAACCAAGATGTTTGGGATACGTATAAATTGAGTTATTCATATTAGAGTATTTACATTTCGATAAAATAATATTAGCATATTTGAAATGAAAAAAAAATGTTTACAATGTTTATCATTTATTTTTTATTATTGGTTTAATGATTAATTTAAATAAGATACTAATTTATTTTTTAATTAAATTGATTTGATTGATTAATAATGAGGTTAAAAATTATTAACCTTTTAAATGCTTCAAATTTAATGTAAGGTTATTTTTCTATTATCTTTATTAGTCAACCTATGTTTTTAATAAAATCAATTTTTAAACAAATTGTATTAATTAATGTTATTGATTTAAAATTATTAGATTCTTACTTTATTTTGTTTAACCTTGATTTATTAGTTTAAGTTTAATTCGATACTAAACATTTATTTGTTTAAAAAACTGTCAATTTTGTCATTAGTGTATAAATTAGTATATTTTCTTATTAATTTAGTTATGAAATTGATAACTGATATTTAAATTTAGTAATTGATTATTAATCACTTATCTTTGTTTCAATTTAAATACCTTCTATGTTGTATTATGAATTATTTAACTGTCTCATTTTTCAATAAAAATATTGTATTATTTATTTAAATTCCATAAAAATAAAAAAATTAATGAAACAATTTTTTTCAATATTTAATTAATTTATTTTAGACGTATTTTATGTCGTCGAAAGTGCTTGTCTTAAACAAAGTAGGGACAGAATGTGGAATATTAAAAAAAATAAGTATGTTCTCTTAAGCATTTTTAGTATTATGAGTGAATTAGAGCCAATAGTTAAACTTCTAAATTACTCGCGTTTAAAACGTGTTATATTGCATTGTATTTTTCACTTATTTGATGTACACAATTTATAATAAAAACTTAATTAATTTTAGTTTCTGTTTTAACATTACATTTTTTATATTCATTGCTTTTGAAGTATTAATATTTTAAGTGAATAACTTATGCTTCTATCATAGATTAATTATTTGTATTAAATGTAAATGTTATTAGGTGCTTTCTTTGGTTGTTTTGTAAACATTTTTGGCTGTAAACTTTTAAACAATGTTTTAACTATTTAATTTTTTTTTTCTTATTAAAATAAGTCTCAATAACAGGACCACTGGATTGAATTATACTACTAAACTAAATTAGTTTTTATCATATAAATTTACTTTCAATTTTTTTTATTGATTTAAAAATGTTTATTTAATTTTTTAGAATTGAACAATTATGTCATACATTTATTAGTTATTAATAATTAATTATTTTGTGGAATTATTTCAAATCATATATTTTAGATGGTCAATATACATTTAAATCTATTTATCTTACAAAATTTAGGAAATTAAAACTGCTATAAAAATTAATTTAAATTGACTACAGTAATTTAATTTTAATTTACATGTAATTGACTTAATAACATTATTAATTTTTATTTATCTTTGCATCATATGTTGATAGTTTTAAAAACTATAAAGTACACTCTACTTATATTTATATTTACAATTATTGCTGGTTAGATTTGATTGTTCATATGTTTACTATCCAGTTAGTCTGTTTTTTTTAACTTCAATTTGTCTTTAATTAATGCTATTTTATGTAATTTTTATTTTATCTTTGAAACTTTTAAATAATGAAAAAAATCTTCATTACATTGAATGCATTATTTTATTTATGTTTAAAATGCACCAAATTTATTATGTTAAAATAAAACTTAGAAATATCAGCAAAAATAATAATAATAATTTTTTTTATTTTTTTAGTTAATTTTACGTACCAAAACAATTTCGTAGTTAGAAAATTGAAATAATATTTAAATAATATAGTTAACCTCAGTTGCATTATTTTACTAAATTGTTATGGTTTTGCTTTATAATGGTTCCTTTTTTAGAATACATTATATTTTATCATCGTTTAACTTAATTATTGTTATAACCATTGTTTCTAAATTTATTAGTAGTTATTAATTTATAATTATGTATATAATTCTTAAATATACTTGTGACTTATTTTTAATTATTTATTACAATTATAGAATCATGTGTTTGAATGGTCCCGGGACCATAGACTCCATCACAAGTATAGCGAAACAAATGCAGACCCGCACAATGCTAACAGAGGATTTTTTTTCTCACACATTGGTTGGTTATTATGCCGAAAACACCCGGACATAATGGATAAAGGACGTGGTATCGACGTAAAAGATTTGTTAGCTGATCCAATTGTTGCTTTCCAAAAAAAGTAATGTTAATACTTTAAAATCAAATGAAATCAAGAGATAATTACCAAATTGATTATTGCAGGTATTACAAGTTCCTGATGCCAATGTTGTGTTTCATAATACCTACATTGATACCTGTTTATTGTTGGGGCGAAAGCTGGTCAAATTCTTGGTTTGTGGCTGCTATGTTTCGGTACACTTTTTCATTAAACATCACTTGGTTAGTTAATAGCGCTGCACATATGTGGGGCGGAAGACCTTATGATAGGTAAAGTTAATCATTATTATTTTTGTCAAATATGTGTTAGTTACATCAGTAAATGTGATGTTTAAATGTTGAGCTTGAAGTATAATACACAATCCTTTATTTATTTTAGGTTTATCAATCCAGCTGAAAACATAACTGTAGCTTTGTTAGCATTAGGAGAGGGTTGGCACAACTATCATCATGTATTTCCATGGGATTACAAGGCAGCAGAATTGGGTGATTATAGACTCAACATAACAACTGCATTCATTGATTTCTTCGCTAAAATTGGATGGGCATATGATTTGAAAACTGTGTCAGCAGATACCTTACGCAAGCGTATGGAACGCACTGGCGCTGAGGATAAAGAACTACCATGGGGCTGGGATGACAAGGACTTATCACTGTCAGACCGTGAAGCAGCCACAATTATTAATAAACAAGGATAAATATCACTATAAACCAAATCATGTATTATTAAATTCAAATTAAGTATAAATTAACTGCATTCCGAGTGCCATTGTGTGTATTATGTTGTATATATTATGTTTAATGTTTACCATAATTAAAGTTTATTTGTATATAATCATCATGACGTTTATTTGAATTACTAGTCATATAATTTCATTATGTGGTTATCATTGTCTTATTTTGTTTCTCAGTATTTGTATTCATTGTCTGTTTATTTTTTTGATAACAATTTAATTTATAACAAAATTATATGGTTTTGTACATCATAAACATAATTGCCCATCTTAAATGTATAAATGTAGTGTTGTTTGTTTGATTTGATACATTAATATTGATATATTGTATTTTATTATAGTTAAAAACTTGTGATTATAGATACAATAATGCAAATAGGAATGAACATTAAACTTAAACTCCATACACATCAATAGAGACAACAGTTAAATATTGAATTTTTAGTAAGTAATAAAATTTTATTCATTCATAATTATAAATCAGTTATTTATTAACAATTCAAGATAACATATATTTTTGTTAGGAATCATAGTGAAGTTATGTTGTTCAATTAAATACTGACATTTTCTGGCAAAGAAATTTTAATTCGTAGTTACTAGATTATTTTATAGAACAAATATTTTATTATAATAATTTAACTGGAAGTTAAAAATTTAAATATTAAAATTATTAGTTTTGTTCAATAAATATTTTGCAAATTTTATCATAAAACATTATTTACTAAGGAGTTATATTTTTATTACTTTTTATTATCTATTTAAAAAACCAGCAGTTAAAATTCTAGTTAATGTATTTAATTTATATCTATAGATTACCAATATACTTTTAAGTTGGGATTAAAATAAGTATTCGAAAAAAAAGTATTAGTATTTCAGAAAAATATATTATCTGCTAACAAAACAAGTATATATATAAAAATATTATATGTTTAAAACATCATTAATTTCATTTTAAAACTAACACATTTATAATTAAATCACCCATCATACATAATAAATACAATAAAAATAACTATTTTATAACAAAGGCTAGGTGCCAGAAGGTAAAAAAAAACTAATTCTATTATATTTTCATTCATCTTTTTTGTTAATAATCGTCGTTAATTTTTTATCTTCAATAGAAATATTGGAATCATCCCATCCCCAGATTCCATCACCATTAGGATGAGAACCATCTCCAGTTCTTTTTGCTCGTTTTAAGATCATATCGTTTGAAACTGTTTTCATATCATAAGCCCAACCAATGAGCGCAAAAAAGTCTATGAAAGCAGTTGTTAAGTTAGCCCTGTAGTTGCCAAGTTCAGCTGCTTTATAATCCCAAGGGAAAACGTGATGATAGTTGTGCCATCCCTCGCCTAAAGCTCCAAGTGACACGGATAGATTTTCAGATGGATTTATTGATCTAAATTTAAAATGAAGCAGAATAATTAAAACTCATAGTTAATATTTATAACTTATAACTTACGCATCATATGGACGGTTACCCCAAATGTGAGCAGCACTGTTCACTAACCATGTCATGTTCAATGTAAAAATGTAACGCAGCATTGTTGAAGTAAAGAATGCGTTTGTGTATGATTCGTTCCAGTAATAAACAGGTATCATTGTGGGCATGATAAAACATATTAGTAACAGTAAAGGAATATATAATCTGAAACATTCAAACAAGTTAGGTTTATAACAAATAATTAATTATCTATATATACAAAAATCTCATGTCACAGTGTTTATGACCATACTCTTCCTAAATGGCTTAACAGATTTTAATGAAATTTTGTATATACATTTGGTAGATCTGCGAATAGGTTTTTATCTATTTTTATAATCCTAAGCGCTATTGTTTAATAAATCGTAGTTTAATTTAATAATTTTTGACCTGGTCGATAACTGCGTAATTGAAAATTAATTATTAAATGACACTATTAAAAATTATTTAAATGCTATTAATTTTATTTTTGGAATTAAATGAAGGATATTAAACACCAAGATCCTGTAACAGGTGCCAAAACAAACAAGAATGTTAGTTTGAAGGATTGTTATGCATATCGGTTGATGATTAGATGCGATCAGGGCAATGTTATTCTAAGATTGTTTTTTTACTAATATTGTCATAATTAGTGATAAATATACATATAATTTTAAAGGATAAATTTTAATAAATTATTAAAAAAATAAATGTTTAATGTTTTTTCATTTTTATATTTCGTCACCATTCACAGCACTCTTTCACTTATATACCACGTCCTTATAAACCTATATTAAATTAGTTATTTTTTTCTAGCAAAATATTCTCTAGAAATAATTTATATGACAAAACAATGTTTTTCGAGTCGGCTAGTATTTGTATAAAATTAAGTCTTACAGTTTTTGAAACATTACAATGGGATCAGTTTTCAAATCAGACATATCAATTTTTCGACATTTATCATAATAATCTTCATGTCTACGAACTACAAGCCATCCTATATGCGAAAAAAAAAATCCTCTTTTAGCATTATGTGGATCAGAATTGGTATCTGTGTACTTGTGATGAATTCGATGATCCATGCACCATTCATAAATATGATTCTATAAATTAAAAATTAAAATAGTTAAATTAATGAAATATTTTTTCTAAAGCAAAATATTTTACCTCAAATGCCATGGTACTCATTAGCATTAAAATAAATCGTAAAGGCCATTTAGCTTTGTAGGATTTGTGAGACCATAACCGATGAAGTCCAGCTGTTACACCCAAGCCTGATAATATCCATAAACTCAATGCTAAAAAAGAAAAATTGTGTTAAAAATATTAAACAAAAGGTTAGAGAATAAATAATAAATATAAGTTATTATTTAAAATATTCTGTAATAATATAAAATATTACTTTTTTTTTCAGAAGAATGCATAACTTTAAACTTTTTTATGGAAATAACAAATACTATTTTTAATAGTTTAATTAATATTGAAAAATTGGTTTATATACATTCATTAGGTATAGGCTGATATTACTTATTAGTGAATTAATATGAATTTCAATACATAGTGACTCGGCTCGAATGTAAAGAAAACTTGTTAAGTATTTACAACTATATTTAATGATGACCCAATGCTTCACATGACAAACCATCAGGGATTTAAAGAGTGTAATTTAAATTAACAAAAATACTTTTATTTAATAATTGTTACACTGATTGGGTAAAAACCTTAGAGGTTTCTTACAATGTTACTTTGGTAGGAATTGAAAAGTATAAGGTTATTAATTTTGGAAGTCTAGAATAATCTGAAACATATTTGATTTGTTATGAGAACCCTATTTTTATTTAAATAGACATAACATGGTGTTACTAGTGGTGTGGAAAACTATGTTACATGGCATACCTATAAAGTAGTCAGCAATTTAGCATTTATTATTATTATTATTATTATTATTATTATTATTATTGGTTCTATCTGTAATACCTTATAGTAAACTAACAGTTCCTATGAACTATATAGATAGAAACATGTGTATTCACCAAAAATGGTAAAATTGTATGAAAAAAGTATTTAAATGTATAGGTAATTTAATAGATATATTTTCACTTCTTAATTATCATTACATAAAATTAAAATTAAACTGACATTTTTTTCATATTTATACATTAAATTATATTGATTTTATTGATATTATTTATTTAAATTTTAAAAATATATGTACAAAAAAAGTTTTATTTTTATTACCAAAAAAGTCACATTTTTAACAACGCGTTATAAATATTAATACAGCAAATACTAAAATTAATATCATTAATATAATAATGTTAACTTCAGAAAAAAAATTTCCTTATAGTAGTTAATAATATTAGTTAAGTTTAGCTTAAAAATGAAATTTTTCAAGATTTAAGAAAAGCATGTATAATACTTTCACTATAAGTCTAAAAGAAAAGAAAGTGATGGATATCTAAACATTGTTGTAATAGTCACTAATATGAGATAAATATCAAATTAATAATAAATGTCTACGAGAAAACCAAATTCTTATTTGTTTTTAATAAAATTTGATGTATTTAAAAACATTATTTTTATAACAGGGAATTTATTTTATTTTAAGCTTGCACCAAATTAATTGTAATGTACTTACCAAACAATGTTGTGTATATTTTGGTCGAAACAAATACCAAATATAATCCATAAATAGCACTCAGATGGCCAGCAACAAAGAACAAAACAATTCCCCAAATTATTTCAACCTTGGCTGGTTCATTTAATGATGGATCCATTCTATCTTGTTTATTTTTTTCCACCACACTAAGATCAGTCTGAAATATTAAATAAGAACATTACAACCAGTATGTAACAAAGGAATACGTCATATATTGTAAAACAAAATAAAATTGAAACGCAACACATTTTTGGACAAATCAGAAAAAAAAATATTAACCGTAATGAATTGAAATAGGAAAACTGTTCGAAACAATTTTAAAAAGGAAATAAATATGTAATAGTTATGGAACATCAAAAAGAATTTTCAAATTCAATTTCAAAAAGAATTAAAAGATTTTCACCTCCATCATAGTGTCTGCGGTGTTCATGTTTGCAACGTTACCGTTGGTGACAGCAGCGTCCATCGTCATTCTTGTTAGGTAGGTACCGCAACAGGCGAAGCGACCAGTAATAATGATTAGGTAAATCGTAATAATCTGCGTATATATAGTTAATTGGATTTGAGATTAGGGCCTAGGGTAAAAGGTACGCGAAACATTTTCAAGACGAGAATGAAAATAAAACAAGATAAGACGGGGCTAATCATGGTTCGTGAACACAGCAAGTGGGCACATGCTGCATCCGAACATATGCGCGGCGGTGTGTCACGTTTGGTGAGGTTTTCTTTCTCCTCCTTTTTTTTTTTCCTCTCGATCGCAGTTGTATTGCTTCTTGAGGAGCGATAGGCGGGGGGATATTTATTAGAATGCGAGTCGCTGTACACCGAAAATCCAACGAGATGATCTGTAACGGTGAACGCTTACAACACGCGTGTAATACGAAAATACGAAATCGGGTATTACTCCGATAACATCATTTTTTCGAGTTCAAAGTTCTGTAAGCTCGGACCCATTGAGTTGTTTTCACACATATATTATCTCTTTCCGCACTTAACTATCTAAATCCAACACGTCACGAGACGCACAAATCTTTCTTAATCGAAAATAAGCAGATCGTCTCAGCTGTCCGATGAATCACGGACGACACGGCGGTGTAACAATCATTATAATCTGGATATTATTGCTTAGGTATAATAGAGGCGACCACGACGCCGAAGTGCCGCGAACGAATCTTATCCGTATCAGTGTAACCAAACTATAAAAGTTTTTCGAAACGTGTCCTCATTTTGTAGTGCATCGTACGCATTATTTTACACCGTATTTGTCGTTTCGAAGATCAGCAGTAAAAAAGTTTGAAAAACGATCGTTATGTACACAATGGTATTATTTGTAAATAGTTAAATAATGCGTTGTTTTTGTTTTTCGTCAGTTGTTAAATCAAATTAAAAATAACGATTTATTAATAACGATCTAACGACTCCTCCTACTGGACTTTATATCGATGTCTTGTTATGACTGAAGATCGCTTCAAAGAAAAATAATCAAAGAAAACACATAATCGAAATGGAAAATGACCTCAAAATCTCAGGAATGCAAATATATTAGTAAATCGTATTGTACCTAATCATTTGAAATAATCAATGTTTTTAATATGCAAAGAAACAATAATATTTTTACTAACGTTTAAATAATGTTCTCTTACTTATTCATAGTGTTATTTTAGTTTATATTTCTATAATATGAATTATATTTGATTTATATAATTAAATGCTGCTTAATTTCCTTGAACAAAACCTTTAATTCATCATTTATCTGATATAATTATAAATATAGGATCGCTATTTACATATTTTCATATTTCAATGTTCATACCATAAATTAAAAAATAATTAAATCAACAAGAACTCTTGGAGATCATATAAAATATAATAAAAAATCATCGAACAGAACATGAAATGTTAAATAAAATTTAGAAAAAAAATCAATACACTTGATGAAACATGTAGTTGCCACATCTACCAGTTATAATTAAAAGTTATTTTTTTGTATGAAAAAAAAAGTCATTCAAGTTACTGCATAATTAAGTAATTATTATATTAGCCTATCTATTTCCTGGCGTGGATTTAGAACTATAGTTGGATGGAGGGAGGGGGGTGGTAATTTTTTTTGAAAATCCATACCTATCAGTTTCGTCAATATTAAATGTACCTGATTTTTAGTATTTTCGCTTGTGTGGATTTATTAGAAATGACTAACTATAGTGGTAAAATATGTTATTTCAATACACATATAGATACTATTTACAATATGGTGCCCTTTGACCATTTATAATAACACCGTTATTTATACTTATTACTAAGCTACCTGTTCTGTTCGTGTAAATGACTAATATCTCATTAAACGATAAGATGAGTAAATTTTTGTGCATATAGTTTAAAAACCAAACCAAAATAATTAGTTTTAATCGTTATTGTTCAAGTAACTCTTTAATAATTCTCAACACTTTACGTCAAGAAACATTTGTAATCGGCCAAGGAAATTATATTACGTAATAAATAATTTACCAAAAATTAATTAAATCTACCACCAATTTTATTTATAATGTATCCACCAATTTTATTTATAATGTATTTTAATATAATTAATGGTGTGTATATAATTAACTAATACCTAAACATTTCAAAATACAGCTTGTAGATAATATGAAGTCTTAAATCTAAATAGAATTTTGTGTTTTAAATATACATTATACGTAATGAGTATCGCCTCAGTTTTTTTTTATTTTTTTATTTATTTCCATTATTAATATCTGTAAGAAAAAATGTAAACAAGAATATATGCTAAAATACAATGACGAGAGTAACACGAGAAAATAAGCAACCCAACGGTTACACTTTATCTGGTTAAATATTAATTTATGTGATGATACGTCAAACTGTTCGAGCACTCGACTCGACGCGAGTCTTCAAAAATAAAATGTACTCGTAAACACGAGTACTTGATATTATTCGACTTTACTCGACTTAAATCAAGTACTAGAGTTTATTTTAGTACTTTATTGAAAAATAAATGTTAAAACAATAAATAACTGCAAGCCAAATATTTTTTGATAAGAAATACTAGCATAGGCGTGCGCAGACCTCTTTTTCAGGGTATGCAAAATGCTGCCACTGCCTACCCCCCTCTCCAAAAAACTGAAAGTTAATTTAAGCGTTTGAAATTCTGGTCTTAGTAACTATTTAATTTAAAATTTTAATTTTTGTCCCCGAAAAAAGTGACTGAATAGTCATTTTTTAATCGTTTTAACTGTCTTCATTATTAAAATTTAAAATAAATTACGAAAAAAAAATTAAATACATAACACTTGAAATGGTTTGAGTAATACATTTAAATAGGGTAAATAAATAAAAACGTAATTATATACAAAATAAATATGATAAATAATCAAAATTAATCATAAAACGATTCTGCGTACAGTTGAGTTATTAATACACCAATAATGTTTTCGGGATTTTAGTTTATAGCCATTTCTTGTTCTGTGGTGGATAGCTATTTAATCTCGGTTGAATTATTGTACTTTTTAATTTCATTAACACATTAAATCGTTATTATAGCATATGATTTGTGTTTCAAAAATAAATTAAACTGTCTGGGACTGAATATAAAAATATAATAAAAATCATAATGTAGTACAAAATCACATAATATACATAAGACCAAATAATTTTATTTTATTTATTTTTTGTAATTTTAGAAAGAAGGCTCTATGTTTAGGGTATGCAGTTGCATACCCTGCATACCCCCTGCAAACGTCTATGAATACCAGTTAAGTTGATGGTTTAAATTAATAACAACAGATTGTTATTGCTGTAATATTTTTTTTATCATAGTAACGACATTTTAATTAATCGTTGAGCTATCATAGTTGTACATTAGAAGGTAATAAAAAAAAAAAAAATAAAAAAAAATGTTTCAACGCGTCAAATTTAATTGTAATTATTAAAACACTTTTGGGTGATGTAGTCGTTACTTTTATGTATGCATTTTGAGAGACTAATTTTTTTTACATGTATTAATATTAAGTGAAAACTTTCAGAAAAATTTTAGGGATCGGATTAGAAATATGGTATTTCAATTACATTTATTACACTTATGTAATGTCAATGCGTTTCATTATTAATTATATAAATTATATAATATATGTATAATAATCGATAATTTTATTGACATAATTATACTTCTGGTCCAACTTTTATAAAATTCAGGTAAAACCATTTATAATTGTTATATTTTCTCATTAGTACTTTTTTTGATAATTGGCTCGGATGAGTAATTTAAGGTAATTATAATAATAAATGTATTGAATTATTGGTGTAAGAAGCCCTTAAGAAGACCACATTGACATGTTCAAAAGTAATAAAATGATACGCAAAAAGTACAAAACCACCTTTTAACGTAATTTTAGACTTAAAACACTTATTATATAAATTGTTGAAAATAGCATTAAGGAGGGCCTCATAAGCTTTTTTCAAAATATTAACGTGCAAAAAGTTAATGAGATTTAAAAAGTTTAAAAAATGAACTTTTCCATGGATCATATGAGATTTCCTCGGAATTTTTTTTGTTATAATTTTAGAATGCCGATCAAACAAATACTTTTTTATTGTTATAAAAGAAGTGAAACTCCTAGATCATGTGAGATACAGGTTAGGGATGAGAGAATGATATTTCAATATTGTTCTTTTAAAGTTGAAGTATTATGAAGTAATGCTTATTGCACTTGAAAAAAATTATTCCGAGTTGAAGAGGTCAGAAACTGTTCCGTTCATATTTCTAAAGATGGTTTATATATTTACAGTAACATATATGTACAGCATATTATAATAATAAGGTAGAATAAAGTTCAAATGTTTAAAAAAAAATAAAAAAAAAATACGTCCAAGTAGTTAAGAGGATGTCACACTCGCATGTGTTGTCTCTGTCTTACAAACGTGTAACATAGAAAATTTACGTTTACTAGGTAGTTCTAATGGGTGTTAGTTTTAATATTAGAGTAAAAATAACTATAATAATTATATACTGCAACTGATTAAAATTAGGCAAAATTGAAAATTTCAGGTGACTATAAATAGCAAAAATATCATTAAAACGTCTAGAACATTGTATGTGTACAAAATGCTAATATCAGTATTCAGTAATTGTTTCGAATCAATACTATTAATATTTTTATTATATAATCGAAATTTGCAGAAATATGCAATTTCGTCAAAATTGAACACATGTACACCTTTTTTTCGTTAACCATTTAGAGATATATTTAGAGAATATATTTATGTAGAACTTGGTATTAGATTTTCTAGCTTTTTTTTTTTTAAACCCAAATAATTTTATCGACATTTTACTAAAAAGCTAAGAAAACATAAAATTTTCAAATACCTAAAAATAGCATAAAAAGTCAAATTTTTTTGATAATTTTACAATAATGAAAAATATGATATTACCATTCAGTAAAAATTTCAAGTCTCTATCATTACTATTTTGATGAAAATTAAAACTTAAATCAATTTTATCAAAAATGGTAAATTTACCGATTATTTTTATGAATTTTATCAGTTTTTCGGAATTATTAAAAAAATTCATAAAATTACCCTTTTCAAAGTACTAACAAAATAATATTTCTTACTAGAAGCTTTCCATTATTGGAATGATCAGAGCAATCCTCCTCTACATATATGAGGCCGCTATTGGAGCTATGTTCAGTAAATATATTAATTATAAA